GCTCGGTGGAGATAGGGGCGGCAAGGCGCAGAGCAACACCAATACTTAGGGTCCGATGGTCCAGGCGGGTGCCCAAGGCGGAATTAGGGACTGCCAACAGGAAGTCCCCGGCATGGGGCGCTTGCACAGCTAGAAGACGCGCTTTGTCCTTCCTGGAAGCTGCCTCCAGCAATGATGTGGCGATGTTCTCCACTATGGGGCTATCCCATTTGGACTGTTTGCAGTCATTTGAAAAAGTCGGTCGAGGATGAGAGTTGACGAGAGTGTCCCACAGACCGGCTCCTTCCGCGAATTTGGGATCATGAATCCCAATGGAGTCTCTTAGGTGTTCTGGTAGTATTTCCTTAACTAATTCACCTGTTGCACTGGTCGAAGATAAGAATGCTGGCAATGCTAACTGTGTCGCCTTGCGAATACCTATTCCCCCGAGTCTAACTGGGAGCGTTGCTTGGTCCCATTGGTCATCTTGCAGGGAGAGGTTTAACACTTTCACGGTTATTGACCTTAGGAGTGTGTCATATTCTGTTAATTTTGGGCTGTCGAAGGAGGGAGCACACCTTAGGAAATAGGTCAGTCTGGGCAAAGCCAGGCACCTTGTGAGAAGGTACAAAGCATCGTGGGCGTCCAAAGCCCCTATTCTTCCCTCCATCCTCCTCAGGTCGTTCAGCTTTTCTTCGAGGACTACCTCAATGGCGCTCGAGCCCAGAGGTGCCCCTAGCAGCACACTGTCGGTGGGAGCGATCACTTGGGCTCCTGGCAATATGGTTCGCACTGCATCTATGGTTGGTTGGCTAGATGAGATGATTTCACACTTTAATGGGTTTAGGGTGAGTCCTAACTCCTCTCCCTTAGATTTCACCAGCTGTAGATCTTCTAGCAGGACTCCTGTGTCCCTGCCAGGGTGCCATCGTCCAGGAACCAGATGTTGAGTTCGCTGGTCAACCTGCTTGTGACCTCTTTAACAGCCATGCAAAAAAGAAAAGGGGCAAGTGGGTCTCCCTGCTGGACACCTTCTGCAGAAACAACTTCATGTTCCCCAAACAGCAGCGTCGATTCCCTACTGTACCCTGCTGAGACGAAGGGGAGTAGAGAAGGAAAGCTTGTTCGAACTGCTTCCAGTACCACATCCCTTTTTACCTGGTTGAAAGCATTTTTAAAGTCTAATTTAATTAATGCCTTATTTTCTGGGAGGTGCTTGATATAGGCTCGTGCTGCATGAGCTGCTGCTTCACAGCCATGGGGGACACCAAAACCTAGTTGATGGGGTCGAAGCATCGTCGCAGCGTCTATGCTAATTTTTCTGACAGCTGCCCTAGCAACAAGGCGCCGAAGTGTGTTACCCACGGCAATGGGTCTGACTCCACCATCTTTCTTCTTGAGGGCACAAAGGGATGCTCCAAAGAAAAATGGTTTAATTGTATCTGGGATCCACCCAGAGAGGCAGTCGTTGACAAACTTCGTGACCTCTGACAATAGTGTCTCGGCAACTTCTCCGAGAACTGGGTTTACCATCTCCTTGAGGTGCTGAGGTCTTACTCCAGTGTATCCCCCTGCCGAGCCTGGCGGAAATGACATGATGGCTTTGTATACCTCTGACGCTTGGAGGAATAGAGGTCCCATGTCTGGGACATTTGTGTCCTGAGCAGTGGGTTCCCATGGTACTCTAGGAGGGTGCTTCTCTCTCAGCGAGTTGGCGGTAGCGGTATTTCTAGGGGCGATTGTGTCTTCGCTGGTAAGTAACCTAATTGCCCCTACTGTGTTGCCCTCTTCAATTTTTTTGGTCACTTGTGTTCCTAGTTTAAAATTGTCATTGTCAGTTTAAAATTGTTAAAATTGTCATATATATATATATATATACATATATACATATATATACATATATACATATATACATAAGTATCCACTCAATTTAACGGCCTATATGGGGCTGAGCCCTAGTCGTTATTTCCGGAGCTCCGTTATTTCCGAAGTTAAGTCGGGTCGGGTAATTTTTCAAGTAACATTCAGGTAGGATATATTTTATACTGTATAACTAAAATTAAATAAAGTTCATTGTGTAATTGCATTCCAATTTAGTGCCACACCGACGATTAAGCCAGTTGTTGGCTGCTGCATGGATGATGTGTGAACACGGTATGATCAAGCCCAGATGGGTGGGAAAAAATTGATTCATTCCTTTGTATTGCAAAATATTTCATGTATCAATCAGCAAGTTAATATTTTCTCAATAATATTTTAGAGAGGTGTTTTGATTTACCCTGAACAGTGCAGGTAATGTATTTTTAATGTTACAACACAGGCTGTGGCGGCCATGCCATAACAATGGCGATTGAGCCTTGTCACTGAGAGCTAGCCAAGACGAAATATTTTGAGCTCACCTATTCTCTGCTGACGATAGAATATACATTTGCAGAGACTAATATGTAGCTTTTGTTGAAAAAAAACAATTAATATCTTGTAATACTATAATAAAATTGGTAAATTGACTTACTTTTAATGAAGCTGAAGATTACGTCATCCTCTGCAGCGCTTGTTTTATATTGTTTATATTGTATACAGGGTACATACTGTATGTACACTTATTTTCAGGCATATTTTAATAGAGTATCCTTCTGTTTCTTGATGTCACTTACTGTACTTTTCCCGATGTTAAACTCTGCTGCTGCTCGTGCATGAGAATATCCTTTATCAAGTTTCTTAATTAACTCCAGCTTCTGTGCAACCGTCAGGCGCTTCCTTTGGGTAACTTTTGGCATTTTTGTAAATTAAAAAGAAGATCACAATTACAGTACAGTAATATCCTTCACAATTGAAGCTAGCCGCGCGAGTTCAGAGTAAACAATGGAAACACATGGCCCGGCGGAGTACATTCTAGGTCCGTGGGAAAAAAAATAACTAGTGCCTATACTATAAAAGGTATTTAATAAGAAAACAAAGACTTTTGCTTAATAAAAACTGTTTCAAAATATTTTATTAATAATAATTTACAATTTTCTTCATTAAAGTGAATCATTTTAAAAGAAAATTAAGATGTAATATACGACTCTGGACGATCCAGGTCGGTGGCCTGGTCGCCATGTGAGGGGACGCTGATGCCACAACAAACCCAATACAGTACCGACAGACCGTCGGTAATATCGACCTCAGACCGGTATAGCAGGCTCCAGATACCGGTCTCCCAAACCGGTCGTTAATACCGGCAGATCGGTATAAAAGAGGCCGTTAAATTGAGTGGATACTGTACATGCATACATATATATGTCGTACCAAGTAGCCAGAACACAGTACTCGGCCTACTATGCATGGCCCTATTTGCCTAATAAGCCAAGTTTTCCTGAATTTATATATTTTTCTAATTTTTTTCTTATGAAATCATAAAGCTATCCATTTTATTATGTATGCATTAATTTATTTGAATTTGAGTTAAAACTAACGTAGATATATGACCGAACCTAACCAACCCTATCTTAACCTAACCTAAACTAACTCAACAAAGTCAATAATTTATTTTCGTGTCATAATATAATAATAATAATTCAAATAAATTAACTGGAAACAATTTATTGAAAATAAAGAAAATCACTCAGCCTATTAGGCAAATCGGGCATTGCATATTAGGCTGAGTAGTGCATTCTGGCTACTAGGTACGACATGTATGTGTGTGTGTGTGTGTGTGTGTGTCACGAAAATAAACACGTGATTAAAAATATGACAGTGTCAGACCACGGAGGAAAATTGAAACGGGAATTTTCTTGAGTACTGTACTTTCGTATATTAATACATCTTCAGAAGGAGTGGTTTTACAGGTCGAGTACTGGACATAAATAGGCAGGAGAGAATGGTGGAGTAAGGTGAGGTACAATAAGTGGACACAAATATGAGCCGCACAAAAACTGCAGAGGGCCTATTGGCCCATCCGATGCAGCTCCCATTCATAACCACACACAGGCCCACATATGGATAATCATAGCATAAGATAGTAAATAAATTGTCTCACTAATTCATTGTAAATATTCTGTTTCGTTCTGGGTTGATCCAGGTTCCCTGTTCCAGGGATCATGTGTCTTAGGTTGTCCACAAGGTTATAAAGTCTAGCCAGCCTGCGGTCTTCCCTCATGCCCATGATGTGAGGAAATATGCTGCTCTCGATGCTGTATTTGGGAATATCTTGGGTTGACATTCGGGCACGAGGGTTTTGTAAATCGAACAGGGTCCTGGCCGCCAGATATCTCATCAACGTTCCGAGCCTTCTGCAGCCTTGTGTTGCTTTGGGACGTCTGTTGCAGCATCTCTCGGATAAGTCCCCGTTTCCCTTATCTGTGGGTAATTAGTTTCAGAAAATGGGGGGGGGGCTTTCCACACAAAACCAGCGTTGAATGTAATGAAAATGCTATTTTCTGGGCGTTTGTATGGTGATTTATATGTTGAGGGATGGGGCGCTAACGAGCGTGCGCGCTAGTTGGATGATGATTTGCTTGTTTGTTTTTCTTTTGGGGAAGTTCTTTGACTCTAGACGTTGCAATTATCACCAGTAGAGGGTTTGTATGGGTTCGCCTTTCTTTCTGGGTGCTTTCCCCGGTCGATGGCAGACATGACATGCTCTAAATATATAGTACTCATATTGGCCGTTACTACCTGTGCCTCTCTGAGTGGACCAGGTTCTGGCTCTGATCACTGGTAGGCATAAAAGATCTCCCCTGACTGATGACCCCAAATTAATATTGCACATGTCAGTTTGGATAGCTTCAGAGAGCCTCCGTGTCTCACCCAGAAAAGGGCGTATCATTACATTCAACACTGGTTTTTTTAAGCTTTATAGATAAGTAAAGCAAGCTAATAAGTTACTGCATAGTATTCTGCAAAGGGAGAAATATTTTCTTGTCAATGTTTGGTGAACTGAGCAAATTTAAATACACTACAGTATAGAAAAATCAATTAAATGTCTACACAACTTGATTAAACTGACTTATTAACCACATTTTTGTTTTTTGTATTTTTAGGTCCTAAAAAGGCAAGTTTAGAGCTAGCTTTACTTTTCAGTACAAGATGTATGGCAGTAGCACTCAGTTCCAGAGCTGGACTTTTAAAGATGAACATGAACTCGCAAAACTTCGCATTCAAGCCAACAAAGATTTCATTGAAAAGTTTGGAAGTAATAAGACAGTAAGTATATTTTTTAAGATTTATATGTAAATCTTCAGCATACACTTCAATGAGCTCCCAGAAATATGGATTAATCGGAACCATACTTCTTCTGTTGCATTTGGCATTCCTTTTTATCATTTTTTGTGATCTGAAGGAGTGGTGTGAATAGATATGGGTGTGAACACCATTACCCATAGGCTAGCGTGTAGACAGACCAACTGTAAAAAATAATGGTTGGGCACCAGTTCAGGCCTCCAAAACCTCCCAGTAAATTCAGTAGATTACCAGGTTGGTTGGGTTTTGTCTTATTGTGGCCGAGTGGGTTAACCCTTTGTCAGCAGCTAGGGAGTAATGGTCGTACCTGCCTATGTACTAAATTGTTTAGGTAGACGATGAACATTACTCGTGCAAGAACTGAACCCTGTGGTACTCCACGAGTAATACTCCTCCAGTCAGATACATTATCTCTGATTATTGCTCTCATCTGTCTGTCAGTTAGAAAATTTTTCATCCATGTCAGAAGTCTCCCTGTCACCCCTCCAGCATGTTCCAGTTTCCAGAACAGCCTCTTGTGTGTGACTGTCAAAAGCCTTTTTTTAGGTCTAGGTAGACACAGTCAACCCAACGACCTCTCTGTAGTATCTCTGTGGCTCTATCATAAAAACTGAGTAGATTTGTTACACAGGATCTTCCTGTTCAAAAGCCATACTGTCTGTATGCTATCATGTCATTACTCTCTAGGTGTTCAACCCATTTGGCTTTAATTATTGTTTCTAGTGTTTTGATTACCACACGTGCTAGTGATATGGGTCTATATTTAGAGGTTCCTCTTGACTACTATTTTCATAAATTGGTACTGTTTGCCTTTTTCCATATATCTGCTAAGATTCCTTAGCAGATATATGGCAGAAAAGAAAGTGAAAACAAAACCCGCCGAGCAGTCAAAGAGAAACATCAGCCACTATGTTAAAGCAAAGCTAGCTGTGCCAGCCACAGTACTATCTGGAGTCCTCCCAGTCAATAACACTCCCATACCTGGGGCAAGATGCAAGGCCCTAGACCCATGATGTACCCCAAGGGCGAAGATAACATCATGCAATGAAGTCCCCAAACTGGGAGTGATTCCCAAACACCCCAGGGAAGATAACCCTGACACGCAAGGACAGTACTCATGGAGAACCTAGGGAAGGTCACCATAAGCGCATGATGCTGCTCCTGTACACCTGGCCACCACACCAACTCATAGTTGGAACAGTCATACAGGGCAAAAATCCAGAACAGGAACTTGAGGCCAAAGGTGACTGATCTGACCACCAGCACATCAGTTCAAACTGGAGTAGTGGGCTACCGGCTCCCTAGGCCATTGCGCCCTGTGCCTATCTGAGGGGCCCAGGTTCTGGCTCAGGTCCCCATTAGGCTCGTGGTCCCCCAGAGTCCAAGCATAAGGACTCCTATGACTGATGACCTCAAACTAATATAGCACAGATCAGTTCACTTAGCTTCAGGGAGCCTCTGGGGCTCACCCAGAAAATGGCATTTCATTACATTCAACGCTGGTTTTGAGTACATCATACATGCAACAAAACAGATTACAAGTATATGATGTATCCATTATTGTGCATTGATATAAAAGGAAATTATGCCAATGTTAGTGTCACTCTGACCCCCCCTACTCAGTGTGTAGAGCACCTAGAAAGCACCTAGCCCACAAGTTGGGCAGTGCTTTCTAATCCCCCTCCTGCTCCACCCCACCCACTCAGTCACATTGCCACCCTGTCACAGAGCCCGGGTTGCTCCCATACGGCGACATGACCCACCACTGCCACACCACCCACCCATTACTTGGAGAGATCTGTTTCCCCAGGCATCTAGACATGATGAATGTCATAACAAATACCCAGAGTCCACTCATCTGAGTGGTATGCCATGGCCAGCTGACCATCCTTCCAGCTCACCTGTCGTCCACCCTCCCGCCCAGCATTCGCTCATTTTTTGGAGCATTTGTCTGTGCTCTAAGGAAAAAAGATGGAAGGATCAAACCAATAGCTATATCTAGATTTATTGAATTAGGTCTGGCCATGTTTAATCCAGACAAATTGGAGTTGGAGTTTTATTCATATAGAAAGTAATGCTAGATAGAAATGCAGTACAATTCTCAAAATCTTGTATGCCTAAAAATTAATTTAGCGTTGCTTTTATGAAAATATGACTTGAATAATTTTATTTGTATTTATATCACAATTAAAAGAATATTAACTCTTTTTCAGAATGTTGAGAGAGCACAACATTTCCTCACTGCTGAAGAGGAGCATGTAATGGTAATGACTAACTTTTTCTCTTTTCTTTTGTTTAATTTCCAAACAGTAAAAATGAATGAACATTATATTTCATGAGTAAAGTACTGCCTGAAACACTATGTGAGTTCTTGTGGCTTTGCAAGAATGTACTACTTAATCACCAGCATATGTACTTTCTCAACCCCCTTGTGCCTTCCTTTATATACTCAACCAGTTTCACTCAATTCCTTTATTTCACTCAACCAGCAGATATCAAAGCCAACGAGAAATGAAAATATTTTAGATCTGGTCTTTACAAACAATGAAGACATAATCAGGGACATTATGATATCAGATACCACATACTCAGATCACAAGCTCATTGCAGTGCAAACTACCATCAATACTCAGAACAGACCTAAAACAATAATGAAGCAAGAGGGGATTATTCAGTAAATTCAATTTTAATAATAAAAGGATAGACTGGGAGACAATAAACAGGGAACTTACAAACATTCCATCGTAAACTGTTCTAAGTAATACAAGTCGTACAAAAGGAATAGAAAAACTGACTTCGGAAGCATATCAAATCAGTCTGAAAAATGTTCCTTTGAGGAAAGCCAGAAAGAGGTCCAGCGTAGAGAGAGAGAACGCAGACGACACTATAAAAGAATGAAAAAATAACGGAAATGCTTAACCCTTAAGCAGCTAAGGGCCTTTTTGCCTTCAACACCCACAGGCGCAACCAAAAAAAATAAAAAATTCTTTCGTCTTATAAAAGTGTTCATTTGTGTTTTCTGATCTGGAGAAAAAAAATAGTAGGTGGCATATTTTGGTCGCAATAGGGTGGGGAAGTCTGGCAAAAAAGAGGCATTGACAGAGCAGGTGCCAGACGAGGTTTGCTCCACCCCAGCTGTCAGGCGGGAGTTGCCGCAAAGATATTATTACCAAATTATTTCAATGTCTCCGATTGATTATTCTTTGTTTTTTGCAATAATATTATTCAATAGTGTGTATCGTGCTATATTTATATAATGAGTGAACCATCGCTGTACTCAAAATTATGGTGTGCATATTAGTGATTCAATTATTATGTTCATAAAACAATAAACAAATAGTTTTGCTGTTATTACACACTATACACAGGTTATATATAAATATCTGCATGTTTTGGTCAGCATAATGAACCACTAAGGTGGTATTGTGAGTCAAAAAGCAATGAAGGCCACCACTCGCCAGCCAGCCACTCGCCACCATTCCCTCCCTCACCTCCTCACTCGCCAACATACTCCTCCCACCATACTGTTTTTGCTTTTATTCACTATTCACAGACGTTATATAAAAGTATCTACATGTTTTGTTCACCATAACTGTACATCTAAGCTTGTATGGTGAGTTCAGGCAATAAAAAACGTAGCTACACACAGCTGGTGGCTGCTGCCCTCACTGGTTCAAGGCCAGACGCACTAATATATCTCCTCCATCAATACTGTGTGTGGTGTTATTACACTATATACACACATTATATATAAGTATCTACATGTTTTTTTCACCATACCTGTACAAATAAGCTGATATGGTGCCCAAAGCCCTTAGTGGCCACCAGTACACAACATGACATGTCATGCAGACGACGCACCTCCCTAACCAAAATGGCGGCTCCCAACATACTCCTATTGCTGTTATCACACACTATACACACATTATATATAAGTATCTACATTTTTGTTCACCATAGTGAACCACTAAGCTAGTATGGTAGTCCAGTCAATAAACAGTGGCCACACACAGTCAGAAGACAACGCCACCTCCCTCCCTCAGCATTACTCCTCTCACCATGGAGCACAGTGCTGAATATCATCACAATCCTGCTATTATCAGAATCCTGGTCAGTTTTATCACAGTCAAGGGTCTTCTGTAATACTATCATCGCTAAATAATAGCATGTACATATATATTTTGACATTTTTAGACGATGCTGTGGTCACAGGCTGAACAGCGGTGCTGTGGGCTCATGCTGCGAGCGCCAGACTTGGTGGCTCACTCAGTACTGAGGCTCTCACACCCGGGAATGTTGCCCACGATTTTTTTTCTAGGTGGCGTCTAATAACTATCGGTCGTGGCTGAACTATAGCTGCCCCTATCCCTTGCGGGGCATTTAAAATCGTGCGTTAGAGCCTCAATCGTCTCTATATGTATTGCGCGGTTTTGGTAAAGTTACTCCCATTGTCTGTATATGTATTGTGTGGTCTAAGGGTTAAGCAGACACGATGTTCCCTACAAAGAAGGAATAATTTAAATAGGGAGATTGAAGAAATCGAGCGGAAATTGAAACACTCATATCAGACTGAAGAAAGGCAGTTAGAACAGAAAGCAATTCAGGAAATAAAGAAAAATCCAAAATACTTCTTCACATATGCTAAATCATAAGCAAAAACCACTGCCAGTATTGGACCAGTTCATACGAGTGAAGGTTCATACACGGAGGATGACAAAGAAATTAGTGAAATCCTAAAAAAGCAGTATGAGGACATGTTTAGCATTCCAATCAGCAACGTGAAAGTGGAAGATCCAGACAATTTCTTTATGCGTGGTATCCAAACCCCTGTAAATATAACTGATATCAACAGGAGCATACTAGATTTTGAAAGAGAAATTGAAAACATGCTCATGCACTCAGCTCCGGGTCCAGATTCATGGAATTCAATATTTATAAAGAAATGCAAGGTGTCAGTAGCACAGGCACTCGGTATAATGTAGAGGAAGAGCTTGGACACGGGGGAGATACCATATGCACTTAAAGTAGCAGACATAGCCCCTCTACACAAGGGAGGGAGCAAAGCATTGACAAAGAATTATAGACCAGTTGCACTAACGTCCCACATAATAAAAGTATTTGAGAGAGTGATTAGGAGTCAGGTCACCAGTTTCGTGGAGACTAATGACCTTCACAACCTAGACCAACATGGATTTTGAGCGGGAAGATCGTGCCTCTCACAACTACTTGATCACTACGACAAAGTCACTGAGGCATTAGAAGAAAAACAGAATGCAGATTTGATATACACGGATTTTGCAAAGGCAAAATCAAAATGAGGTCAATGGGAATAACCTGTAAAGTAGGACGTTGGATACTCAGTTTTCTGTTGAACAGAACACAGAGTAACAGTCAACCATATAAAATCGAGTCCAAGCACAGTTAAAAGCTCTGTACCTCAGGGTACTGTCCTTGCACTACTGCTTTTCCTTATTCTATTGTCAGATATAGACAAAAATACTAGTCACAGCTTCATATCATTCTTTGCAGATGACAAAAATCAGCATGAAAATTTCCTCTGCTGAAGACATTGAAAAACTTCAAGCAGATATTAATAAAGTTTTTGACTGGGCAACAGAAAATAACATGATGTTTAACAGTGATAAATTGCAGGTACGGTACTCAGGTATGGTAAAAATGAGGACCTTAAACATAATACAAGCTACAAAACACAATTAAATGTGCCCATAGTAGGAAAGCAGCATGTAAAGGATTTGGGAATAATGATGTCTGACAACCTAACGTTTAGGGAGCATAACCAAGCAAATATTGCGTCAGCCAGAAAAATGATCAGATGGATTACGAGAACTTTCAAATCCAGGGATCCTATCACAATGGTTGTACTATACAAATCACTTGTACTGTCCCGTCTTGAGTACTGCTCAGTACTCACTTCCCCCCTTCAGAGCAGGAGAGATTACTGAAATAGAGGGAATACAGAGAACATATACAGCAGACATAGAAGCAATAAAGCACCTAAATTATTGGGATCGCCTCAAAGCTCTCCAAATGTACTCAATAGAAAGAAGACGAGAGAGATATCAAATAATATACACGTGGAAAACACTGGTGGGCAAGGTACCAAATCTACACAGTAAAATAACAACATACTGGAGTGAACGATATAGAAGAAAATGTAGAATAAAACCAGTGAAGAGCAGGGGTGCCATAGGCACAATCAGAGAACACTGAATAAACGTCAGAGGTCCACGGTTGTTCAACATCCTCCCAGCGAGCATAAGAAATATTGCCAGAACAACCGTGGACATCTTCAAGAGAAAACTAGATCATTTCCTCCAAGGAGTGCCGAACCAACCGGGCTATGGTGGATATGTGGACCTGCAGGCTGCTGCAAGCAACAGCCTAGTGAACCAAACACTCTCAAGTCAACCCTGGCAACCCTGGCCTCGGGCCGGGCTTGGGGAGTAGAAGAACTCCCAGAACCCCATCAAGCAGGTATACATAAATAAATATATAAATAAATGTAGGTTTGAGGTACTCATGAGAAGACATTTAATAACCTGGAAGGGAAAAGTGGAGAATCATCATTTCCCTGTTTCTCACTTTCATTAGTGTAGACATTTGCCAAAAAAGTTAGCAAGGAAAGAAAATTAATGAAATTACCATTTGCGATCCTTCATTTAGTGTGTTTCACGCTCCAAATGCACTCACTCTTCAGAGCTGCTCGAAAAGGATAATGATATAATTAACTCACATTTACAAAGCTATGTGAAGTGTTATAACTAAATTTAGTGTCAAAATGTTTGTAAATAAATGTTCTCTTAAGAGTTCAGTTGTAACAAAATTATATATAAATCATGATTTGCAAGCTGTGTTGCAGAGTATTCAAAAGCTTATAAATATTTCAACATCCTTGCACATGATTGATTTATGTTGTCGTAGGAAGAAAACAAATATTACTTGAATGCTGTATCTTCATGTAGTTTACCAAGCCATGAAAAATTTACTAGTAAATTTATGGCAGAGCACACATTGCATGTTTTGGAAAATGTTTACTCTCATTTCTGGACTGGTTCTCAGTTATATCCCAGTAGACTGGCTTTGGTACTACAGGGATGTCATTAACCACCGTGCTGCGCTGAGTTTATTGTGAAATTCCCCGTGCGCATGAAATAAAGTGTTCCCAAAAAATTCTTTTTTCTTCGTAAAATGATAAATTCCCTTCCCTGAACATGTTTATGTAAAAATAAATACCAAATTTCACTTTCTTTGGCTGTGGGGATGTGGACAAGGTGCGATGTGACGTCATCAGGGCCTAGTCGCCCGTTCATGAATCGCCCAGACACAGTCGCACGCACCCCAGATTTTTGCTCTGGTCCTAGATAAGCTAAACAAGACTCCTGTGTGTCTTGTAAAAGCTTGTTTACAGTACTGATGTAACTCAGTACTGTAATAGCTTCAGAGTCACTGGGGGCTACCCCAGAAACTATCTTGATAAGTGTTCAATATTTCATTGGGGCTTTGGTCTTGTGTATGGGCAATATGCCATTAACATTTCACATGTGTTTACTGTGTTCACATTGAGTGTACCTAGTTTCTCTCATCTGCCTAAGCTTATGTTCAGTGCTATTTGCACTTAAGCTGTCAGTTGCAGCCTCCACCACAGTTATCTCCTCTGAAGAGCTTGGTTCCACTTCAGGATAAACTACTTTTGAGTTTGATCACAGATCTGGTAGTGCTTCAGACATAGCCAGGTAGTTAATTTGTTGAGAATTTGGTAAAGTATTGAGAATGATATTTAAATTTTGTTTAAAGATTTATTGAGTCAAGTGATTGACAAAAATTTATTGGTTCTGATTTGGCTATTGTACTGTTTCCAAATACAGTAGTAATATTGTAGTCATCAGGTGTCCAGCCAGAGGCTTAGGGCCTGTGCAGGAATATCCCTGCCTCCCCCCCCCCCCAAAAAAAAAAAATCAGGTGTCAGTTATGAATACAGTACAAGGATAGAGACTCAGTGTGAAACATTTAGATTTCAGAATTAATTAGAAAGTACAATGGCATTGTTTGATGGTGTAAATATGAATAATATTATTATGTACTGTGTATGTCATTGACTGTTTTGGAGGTAACTTGATTAAAGGAAGATCCAGTACTTATATTTAGTTTAATAAAACCTGATACAATACATCTTTTCTTAGGTTCGTTCATATGAACATTCTTTAAGAGATTTTTGCAAGAAATTTCGTGACCCAAGAGACGCTCGAATAAGGATGCTTCCTTCAGTAACAACAACAGCACAGCATTATTTCAAGAGATTTTACCTCTTCAACTCGGTTATGGACTACCACCCCAAAGAAATTTTGTAAGTAGTTTTTGGTACTTGTATTTTGAATAGCGTTAATCTCTAATGTGCGGTTATGAATTTGCACGCATGTTTGCTCATGTGAAAAAAATAATAGAAATGTATTTTTCTAATAGAATGATTGATTTGGATGCAAAATATATGGAAAAGTGAAAATAGACTGAAATATCTACGTTGTAACTTGTTTTGTGCACAGTGAAAAGCTCAGTTCCCCAAGATACCATGCTTGCTCTGGTACTTTTTCTCGTCATATCATACATAGATAAGGATACAAACCATAGTTCTGTATCATCCTTTGCAGATGACATTAGAATTTAAATGAGTAGACTATATAGAGGACACAGCAAACCTCCAATCGGATGTTAATCAAGTCTTTCACTGGACCACAGAAAATTATATGATGTTTAATGCAGTTACATTCCAGTTACTGTGCTATGGAAAAAACAAAATTATGGAAATCATTTATAACACAGTCAAACCACACTATTGAAAGGAAAAAATGTAAGAGGTTTTGAAATAATTATGTCAGAAGACCTTACTTTTAATAAAGAACACAAAGTAGCTGTCAAAACAGCAAGAAAAATGACAGATTGGATAGCAAGAACCTTTCAAACGAGATGCCACACTGATGCCACACCAATGATGATGATGATAGTGCACTCTAGAATGGAATATTGCACACTAACAGCCCCATTCAAGGCTAGAGAAATTGCTGACCTGGAGAGCATGCAAAGTTCTTTTACTGCTAGAATCCACTTAATAAACATCTAAATTATTGGGACTGCTTAAAAATTTTAAATCTGTACTCTCTAGAGCACAGGTGGGAGAGATACATAATAATTTACACTTGGAAAATACAGTGCTAGGAGGACTGGTTCCAAATCTGCACACAGAAATAACACCACATAAAACCAAAAGGTATGGCAAGATATGCAAAATACCCCCATTGAAAAGCAGAGGTGCAGTAGGCATACTGGGAAAGAACTCTATCAACATGTAAGGCCCAAGACTTTTCAACACACTTCCCCTACACATACGTGGCATAACTGGCCGATCTCACTCAGTGTTCAAAAGAGAACTTGACAAACACTTTCAAAGGATAGCTGATCAACCAGGTCGTGACTCATATGTCAGGCTGTAAGCACCTGCATCAAACAGCCTGGTTGATCAGACCAGCAATCAGGCCGCGGCGATGTTGATCCTCAGAATCATTGATGGGGAGGGGGGTCTTCCGCTTTTGTTTGGGATCCCAGGGTGGGAGAATTGTTTGAGTTGGGTTCATGGATGCCTTTTGACTATTCTTGGTCTTAATGCATTGTTTTGTGGCATAGTTGCTCCGCATGGGATTTTTCTTGTTCCTCTTTTATATTTGAGCATTGTCATATGCTCACCACAAGCATGATCACATCCCCCACCACAGGAAAGTCAGCAAATGAAATAATGAAACTTATAAAATAGAAATGGCTGAGGATTTGCTCACCCGTGGGCATTTGGTTTTGGTCTTGCGCTTCTTTACCCTGCTAGAGCTGTCTTTGGACTGGCTCGGGGACGATGTGGAGGAGCTGGGATCCGGGGCCTGTGTCCGGTGTGTTTGCTCTCAGCCACGCGAGTTCACATTAAACAATGCGGTCACATAGGTACTTTTTTTCCCACGGACCTAGAATGTACTGTGCCTGGCCATGTGATCGCATTGTTTGCTGTGAACTCGCGCGTCTGAGAGCAATGTCTCAGAATATTAGCCAGAGAAAATCAGATTCGGACAAAAATAGATAAATTTATGATTTCAACGGTTTGTGAGAGCACCCACTGGGAATTCAACAAGTCATGCAGCATCCGCTGGCAACGAGTGCCTTACAAGCTATGCTGCACCCGCCAATGCTGAATTCCCATCAACAAGTCGGGCAACCTCCGCCGGCAACGAATGCTCTGCAAACTATGCTGCACCTGCCGATGCTGAATTCCCATCGACAAGTTGTGCAGCCTTCGCCGGCAACAAATGCTCTGCAAGCTATGCTGCACCCGCCGATACTAAATTCCCATCAACAAGTTGTGCAGCCTCTGCCGGCAACGAATTCTCTGCAAGCTATGCTGCACCCGCCGATGCTGAATTCCCATCAACAAGTCGTGCAGCCTCTGCCAGCAACGATTGCTCTGCAAGCTATGCTGCACCCGCCGATGCTGAATTCCCATCGACAAGTTGTGCAGCCTCCACCAGCAACGAATGCTCTGCAAGCTATGCTGCACCGGCCTATGCTGAATTCCCATCGACAAGTCGTGCAGTCTTCGCCGGCAACGAATGCTCTGCAGGCCATGTTGCACCCGCTGATGCTGAATTCCCATCAAAAGTCGTGTAGCCTCCACTAACGATATAAAATATGATTGAAAGACATATAAATTAGTGTAAAAAGTGTTGATAGAGTACAGTAAGTGTTAATGATTATTTAAGCCTTGACAAAAAGATACTGTACAGTGTAAATATACAGTAGAAATAATTTTCAATTGTGAATTAGAATTAGAACTCATGTGAATTAGTAGTAAGGCTAGCTGTTGTGTGAAGTGAATGCCTGAAAATAAGTGTACATACTGTATGTACCCTGTATACAGTACTGAACAATATAAAACAAGCGCTGCAGAGGATGACGTAATCTTCAGCTTCATTAAAAGTACAGTAAGTCATTTTACCAATTTTATTATAGTATTTCAACATATTGATTGTTTTTTCAACAAAAGCTACATATTAATCTCTGCAAATGTATATTCTATCATTAGCAGAGAAAATGTGAGCTCAAAATATTTTGTCTTGGCTAGCTCTCAGTGACAAGGCTCGATCACCATTGTTATGGCCTGGCCGCCACAGCCTGTGTCATAACATTAATAATACATTACCTGCACTGTTCAGGGTAAAACAAAACACATCTCTAAAAAAATTTTGAGAAAATATTAACAATCACCGATTGTTACATGAAATATTTTGCAATACAATGAAATGAACCAATTTTTTCCCACCCATCTGGACTTGATCAGACCGTGTTCACTTATCATCCATGCAGCTGGCTTAATCGTCAGCGTGGCACTAAATTGGAATGCAATTATACAATGAACTTTATTTAATTTTAGTTATACAGTATAAAATATATCCTACCTGAGTGTTACTTGAAAAATTACCCGACCCGACTTAACTTCGGAAATAACGGAGCTCCGGAAATAACGACCAGGGTACAGCCCCATATAGGCCGTTAAATTGAGTTAAAATTTAAATTGTTTTAAAATATTTTATTAATAATTTAGAATTTTCTTCATAAAACTGAATCATTTTAAAAGAAAGTTAAGATTTAATATACCACTCTGGATGATCGAGGTCAGTGGCCTGGTCGCCATGTGAGGGGCTGCCGATGCCAAAACAAACCCAATACCAACCATCGGTAAAATTGACCACCAGACCGGTATATGAGGCTCCAGATACCGATCTCCCAAACCAGTCGTTATTACCGGCAGATCGGTATAAAAGAGGTCGTTAAATTGAGTGGATACTGTATTCATTTTATTTACACTATGTACTCTCTCACACACTATTTACAGTCATACACTGTATTACACACTCAGTACTGTACTTCAGAAGTGAGTGATAATCAAAAACACAGTCCTTGGTACACATCATGACTTTGCACTGGATGCACCAGGTACACACAGGTTTTCGCTTCCTGTTTCTTTGTTCTGTGTGCATGCAAACAACTCTCACGTACACCCTTGGTTTTAGTTCCTGTAGGTGGTATGTATCCAAGCTTGTGATTGTAAGTTAGTCTTGAAAAGATCTAGGAAAAGAGCAGTGACAAAATTCTGTCCTGGTATCTCATATCTGTCCTAGTATCACTCATATCTTCACCTGTATTTGGAAAAGTGGGTGCAACACCATCATCAGAATCATCAAATTGTGGTTTATGTGGTTCTAAATAATCACAGTCCTCCCTCGCATATTCACCTGTGCTCCTGGTACTGACACCACCACTACTGGCATAAACACCACCATGGAAGCCACTAACACTGTTTATCTATAGTATCACTTTATTAAAAAATTGGAGATGACATGGCTTTTCGACACCGCGTTCAACAGGAGATTTGGGAGCCAGAGGCGTGTGCGTCAGCTATGGTTGCTCACTCAGAACTGAATCAGCCAGCAGCCCTAGGGCATGCTGGGAATTTTTTTCAAGATGGCTGCCTCTCACTGAAGGTCCCAGGCATCCGTCTCGTACCCAACCCACTGCGTACACGTTTTGATTACGATATCTTAAAATCGTGTTTTCTCGGCCTGCACAAAGCCTAACTCGAGTAATGTCAGTTAGCACAGTGCAGTGGTTAATGCCTCTAATCTTTCCTCGTAACTCTTGTTTTTCAGTTTTGGAAGCCATTTTGTAGCACGCCGCTGCACCTTTTCCTGTTTATGTGCTTCTTAAGAATTAGGCACCGTACAACTGCTGCATATTCCAATTTTGGTCTCACAAGTCATGAAAAGTTTTTTTAGTATTTCACCATCCATATAATTAAAAGCAAGTCTGTAGTTGGAAAGCAACACATAGACTCCTCTCATAATGTTCTTTGTGTGTTCCTCTGCCAACAGCTTACTATCCAAAACCACCCTTAAGTCATGTTCTTTATTAGAGTTCTGTAATGCCTTTCCACATTATTTGTAAGTTGTGTGTGGTTCGTTTTCTCCAATTCTGCATTCCATAACATGGCATTTATTCACGTTGAATTCCATTTCCCACTTGATGCTCCAAGTACTTATTTTATCCAGATATATTTGAAGAAAACTTCCTTTCATTATATCTTGTGGTGAGAGTCCTTTGAAACAATCATCTGTTGGTGTGTTTACCTTCCCCATGCTGGCGGCCATCTTTGTTATTGACGATCGTTTGTTGTGGAATATAAACTTTTCCAACACAGAATTCTCACACTTTTCACTTATTTCTTGTATCTTCTTTACTTTTAAACTTCTCTATGCCTTTATGTAACCTGGGACACCATTTACAGCCCTCAACCTTTTCCCAATACTTAGGCAATTTGATATTCCTAGAGCCTGCTACAGTGACTCTTGCCTCCTGGGACAGTAGAACAGTGTGGTGGAACATCCAAATTGTGAGAGGTGAAAAAAAATTACCTCTATGCAATGAGAACTATGTGCCCAGTCACTTAAGGGCGATAAGAGCAATATGAGGGTTAAGGGCAAATTTGAAGTGACTAGATAAGTTTAGCAGACAATATTACATATTGTAGTGCTAGAACTGCATTTTGCTACCAGTTTGTTATTAATACCTTATTTTTAAGAATATTTCATAATATTATTTGTAATGTTGAGATATTCATTGCATAGGACACTGGTAATACCTCCCTAGAGTGGCTGTCAGTTAAAAATGTCTAGTCAATTTACATATATTTTTGTATGTTTGTCTAAATTAATTTGGCTGGGGAAGGCCTGCTGGCTTCCTGAAGCTATCATACATTGATCAGTGCCATACTACTAGGTGCCATCAGTCGCAAAGTTCTATTGGCATACTAAGGACTATGAGCCAGAACCTGGCTCCCTTAGAGAGGCACAGGAAGCAATGGCCTATGAACAGTTTATATTTAAAGTTAATCATAATTGTCACCACCAGGGAAGCACCCAGAAAGTTTGGCAAAACAAAACAGATTACTGCATGGTTAAAACCTAAGACTGCAGTCTCAAAAATTGCCAAAATAACTTCCCCCAACAATGAAAACAAACCACCAAAATGTTGTGCAACTAGCACGAGCTAGTTTGCTCCTTCTCCCTCCTCGTTTGGGGAAAAGAGGGAGGCAGACCGAGTCAGCCAGGCCCCACCATCAGTTTTATTCTGATAGTGCTTGATGGCTGTCTTGTGACTCTGGCTCCAGTCTTTCGTTTTTTTTTTCAGAGGTGTCAGGCAGTGACCACTCTGCATTCAAGATTTTTCTGTTTGTACTGGTTTGTTTGCACTGGTTTGTTCCTTGCTCTGTTCAGTTGCCTCTGTTGTTTCAGGCTCATTCTCTATCGAGCTGTATACTTGGGTGTTTCTCTGGGTCTCCTCTTGAGGTTTGGAGATTGATTTGGTTTTGCTGTGGAGTGACAGGTTTTCCGCTTTCGGGTTTCCCGTTTGGGTTGCTCATTGCGCCTCACATTTTCAGCATTTTCCTCTGGCCATGGCGGCCCTTTTGGTTTGTTAGGTACTCGCCTAGTTGTGCTTGCAGGGGGTTGCACTTCGGTTCTTTGGCCCTGGCTCTCAACTGTCAGTCAACTGGTGTACAGATTCCTGAGCCTGTTGGGCTCTAACATATTTACATTTGGAACTGTGTATCGAGTCTCCCTACACCACATCACTGTCTAGTGCAGGCATGTCAAACATGCAGTTCACTATATCAGGCTAATGTGTATATATTAGACCGTGCAAACAGTCAATTGATGGAGTTCTAGGCTTACCGGGGACCAGCGCCAGAACCTGGCCCCCTCGGAGGCAACGAGGAGCAATGGCCTATAGACACCCCCATGTAGTTGGAAGCAGTCTATATCTGCCATCTACCAGGTCAGGCACCCAGAGAGGTGGGAATTTAAAAACAAACTACAGCTGGTTAAAAATTGCAAACCGAAAGCCATACTAACAAACAGAACTTCCCAATCGAAAACAAGCAAACAAGTGTGACGTCACCATAGCCGCCGTGTCACTGTCTGCACAACTCCCCCCTCCCCGGGAGGAAAAAGGGGGGGTCCTAGACCTCATGCGCTGATTATCCAACCTCAGTTCAAGAGGCTGTTGTGTTGGCAACAGTCGATCGACTCTGGCTCCAGCCTTTTGAGCAGTGCTACATAGCGTTGTTGTTGTTTTGTGTTGGTGGTGTGCAAGCCAGGAGTAACACAAGAGTATTGGGGCTGGGTACAATTACACACCAAAAAGGAACTAAAACTAAGACAAAAAACTGCCTTACAGCAATCAGCACTGGTTAGAACAAACCCAATATGTCCACTCATAATGGACCTGTCAGTAAAGTCTCCCAATCAAACTACCCCCAAATAGAGTAACCTCATTCATCTTTGCCAACATACAAGGACTAAGAACAAGAACAAAAAACGGAGTCTCCCTGGCATTACTCCCTTTCCCCGGTCGGCGGTGTTTTTTGCGTGTTTTTGACATCCAACCTAAGAACTGGTGGTTGGATCATCGGCACGAAGGGTCTGGGGCGCCCCTTCTTCCCCCTCCCGGGAAGGGGGGGTTGCGCAGACAGCGGCTCGGCAATATAATGATGATGTGCTCGTTTGCTAATTTCTGTTTGGGGAGTTCTGTCCACTTGTTCGGCTTTTGGTAGCAATAGTCTCACCAGAATAGAGGTTTGTTATGGGGCGCCTACCTTTCTGGGTGCCAGACCCGGTTGATGGCAGACATAGAATGCTCTTAACCACATGGGGGTTTCTATAGGCCATTGCTCCTCATTCCTCTCTGAAATGGCCAGGTTCTGGCTAGTGGTCCCTGTATGCAAGAACTTCATGCACATTGATTGATGCCAGAAAGTTATGCATATCCATTCAGCCTAGATCGCTCTGGGGAGCCTCCGGGACTCGCCCAGAAAATGGCATTTCATTACATTCAACTCTGGTTTTTTGCAGCGCCATTACCTGACTGTGAGGCCTAAGAGGTGGATGCCTTCAGCTGGACTGGTCGAGATGGGGGTGTAATCGCCTCTTTCCTCTGGTCCGGCTGTTGCTTCGGGTGCTGTCGTGACTGGAGTCTTACAGGAAAAGGTTCTATGAGGTCTTTTTGCCATTTTATTTTTCTTGTCATTGCTCTTTGACTCTGAGTGGGTTGCTTTGTCCTTTCATTCTTGCCTGTTTCTGGATTGGCATTTCATGCCTCATACTGTCTCCTCTTATCATGCGGTATTGGCAGAGTTGCTTTGGCTTGCGTTTGGGGTTGACCCTTCTTCAGCCCTGTTTTGCAAACTTTTTCGCACTTTGTTTCACCTCATGCACTGCCAGAGCTTGCCTGGTGACCAGGTTCTTTCTTTTCTCTCTTTTCCTCATTTTACTGTGGTCTCTTTGGTCCAGGTCTATTTTTTAAAGCAGTGATTTTGCTTTCTTTTTCCTCTGGTTGTCGGGTTGTTGTGCTTCATGCTCTTCTCCAGCGCCGTTTTTTTTTTTTTTTTTTCACTTGGCTGGTGGGCGTTCAGTTGTGGCTAGCTCATTTTTTTCTGGCGAAGAATAAGTCGGCAGGCTTCTGGCGGGGTCGTTTGGGTATGGATGCTTGGTTGATTTGGCCGGGTGTGCATCATGCACTTTGTCTGGTGGCGGCTTTGTGCCACTACCTTTGTGCCACCGGTTCTGCTTTAGTGAAATCATTCTGGGTTGATCTGATTTCCCTGGTTCCCTGTTCCATGGCTCATATATGTCAGTATGTATACAGTGTCATTAAGTCTGGCCAGCCTGCGCTCTATCCTTGTGTCCATGATATCATTCAGTATGCTGTTCTAACAGCAGTGATTGCAATTATGTCCTGGGCCGATATTTGGGTACAGGGGTTTGGAATTAAGGGTGTTGGTAGAGGGTCTCAGCAGCCAGGTATCTTGTGAACATCCCTGGTCCTCAGCGGCCTTGTGTCGTGTGTTGTGGCTGATGGTTTCGTCTTAAAGTTGATACCTGTGGTGCTGCCTTCACCCTGGTAAGTGCTCTTTATTGTCCTTCTCTGTGGGTAGTTAGTTTCAGGGAGCTGACAAACTTCCCCCAGAAAACCAGCTTTGAATGTAATGAAACACCAATTTGTGGGTGAGCAGCAAAGGCTTCCTTGACACCCTCCTTTTCCCAGGGGTGTCGACGTGTTTCATCATGATGGAACTGACAGTGGTAGGGCCCGGCTGGCCTGGTCTGCCTCCCTCCTCTCCCCTTCCTCCTCCCTCCCCAAACGAGGGGAAAGGTTGGGCAAACTAGCTCCCGCTACTGTTCCTAAATATTGATGGTTTGTTTTCATTGTTGGGGGAGTTCTTTTGGCAATTTTTGAGGCTGCAGTCTTAGTTTTTAACCATGTAGTAGTCTGTTTTACTTTGCCTAACTTTCTGGGTACTTTCCTGGCAAGTATGAATAACTTCAAATGTGAAGTGTTCATAGGCCATCGCTCCCTGTGCCTCTCTGAAAGGGCCAAGTTCTGAATCATGGTCCCCAGTAGGCCAATAGAACTCCATGACTGATGTCACATAGTAGTATGGCACTAATCAGTATATGATAGCTTCAGGAAGTCTCTGGGACTCACCCAGAATTTGGCATTTCATTACATTCAACTGTAGTTTTTTTTTGTGCTTTTCAGGGTAACATGTGTGTATCTTGCATGCAAAATTGAGGAGTTTTATGTGACTATCAATGACTTTGTTCATAATGTGCGTGGTGATAAGAAAAAAGCAGCAGAGATTATTCTTAACAATGAGCTTCAGCTTACCCAGGAGTTACAGTTTCATCTGATTATTCACCAACCATTCCGTCCAGTTGAAGGCTTACTTATAGATATTAAGGTTTGTAAAATTAATTTCTTCCAACTAGTCCACACTTGCTTACCATGAACAATATGGAAGTTTTTATATAATCATCCCCAGGCACAGCATTACAGTGTTGCATAGTATTAATCCTGTTCCTTGAATATATTCTCTGGGTTTATTATATAAAGTTTCATATATCAGTTTTTGTTCTTTGAGCATCTTTAATTTTAGATTTATTGTTTTTTCTTTACTGTGTATAAGAACTTTCATAATCATGTTTAAGTATTATCTTTTATTCATAAACTCTAAAGGAAATCCATCTTGGCTCACATAATTTTTGATATTACAGAATGGATCAGTTTTAATGTCTGGGTGATGTATTCTAGTTGGCATGTGCTGAGTACACTCCTTTTGTGATTGGGCTAATTCTTCTAGCATTGTTTTGGGACTTATGATCTGATTACCTATGTTGAAGATTTAATTTCTCATGGCTTTGCAGGTTGGGATGATACGGTGTCCCCGCCTGGTCTTAAGCTTCACTTGATTTTGTCCACTTTTCGGCATGGATGTATAGCATGTTTCTGTGGGGGAGCCCTGTCGGCTCCCTGAAGCTATCTTACTGATCAAGAGCCACACTACTTGAGTGTCATCAGTCTCAGAGTTCTTTGTGAGCCTACCAAGGACCACAAGTCAAAACACGGCCCCATCAGAGAGTTAAAGGAAGCAATGGCATATGAGCACTTTACATATAAAGTATGTCATACTTGCCATCGACCAGGAAATTTCCCAGAAAGGTAGGCGAATCAAAACAGACTACTGTCTGGTTGAAAATTGCGAGCTATGTCCTCTCAAGCGCAAAAGAACTCTCCCAGAAAGCAAACAACCAAGCAAAACTTCGTCTAACTAATCCCCTGCTCATTAACTTCACACCCCCACCCCCTCAGCTGGGAGGATGGGAAGCCGGCCTGGGTAAGTCAGGTCACCACCATTCAGTTCTTTGATTGATGCAGTCATGACAGGTGGTTGCTGTTGCTCTGGTTCAATGTTCCCTGTTTTCTTTGGTGTTTCGCCATTGCGGCGGTGTTATGAAACGGATGTGTGCATGTTGCCAGGAATTTCGAGTACTGTAGTACTCGAACATTGCGTTTCAGGGAGCAATGACCCTGGAAAACTCCCCCCTGTGGTTAGGGGTTTTCCTTATCAGCCATCGACTGGGGTTAGGCACCCAGAAAGGTAGGCATAACAAAACAAACCCCACATGGTAAGAAACTAACAACAAAAACCGAACAGAGAGGTAGAACTCCCTTCAATCCCAAGGAAACATGCAAACAAGCAACCGTAACACTACTGCCATGCCGCTTGTCCGCGCAGCCCTTGGGAGCCGGTCGGCCGAGCGGACAGCACACTGGACTTGTGATCCTGTGGTCCTGGGTTTGATCCCAGGCACCGGCGAGAAACAATGGGCAGAGTTTCTTTCACCCTATGCCCCTGTTACCTAGCAGTAAAATAGGTACCTGGGTGTTAGTCAGCTGTCACGGGCTGCTTCCTGGGGGTGGAGGCCTGGTCGAGGACCGGGCCGCGGGGACACTAAAGCCCCGAAATCATCTCAAGATAACCTCAAGAAGGTAGCCCTCCCCTCCCCTCCCCGAGAGGGGAACGGGGGGCCCCGGACCTCACCGCGCCGGCTGCATAGCACTTCAATTCGTAAGCTAATGTCAACTGGGACAGACAACTGGCAGGTCCTGCCTCACAGGGTTACTTGAATTCTATGCCCAGGCAAGAAAGAGAAGGGTGGGCAGACTGCATATTTTTGGATTGTCAGAAAGCCTTTGATACAGTACCACACAAGAGGCTAGTGAAAAAGCTGGAGATGCAGGCTGGAGTGAAAGGGAAGGTACTCCATTGGATAAAGGAGTACCTAAACAACAGGAGACGAGGAGTCAGTGTGAGGGGTGAGGTCTCAGATTGGCGAGACGTTACAAGTGGAGTCCCGCAGGGGTCAGTCCTTGGACCTATACTGTTTCTGATACAGTGGCACCTCGACTTAGGATTGCCCCTTCTTATGATAATTTTGAGTTACGATGTAAATTTCATCGAAAAATGGGACTCGACATCCGATAATGTCTTCAACTTACGATATTTGTTGGTACACGTTCGGGTCGACCGAGCGCGTGGTTCCGGTCACGTGGGCGACCTGCCTCAGTTTACTACAGCTGCCCGCTTAGTGACGATTGCGCCTATAAGAAATTTCGCTTTTGTGGTGATTTCTTGCATTTTGAACATTAAGGTAATTATTATATATCACACCATGAGTCCCAGGAAAGTTAGTGGTAAGGCTCAACATATGAGATCCCATGTAAGGATGACCATAGAGCAGAAACAAGAGATCATTCATAAATATGAAGATGGTGTGTGGGTTGTTGGACTGGCTAGACAGTACAGTACAACAAATCTCGGTGAACAATGTCCACCATACAGGCTAAGAAAAAGGACATTATGGGTGCTAAAGTGATGCATCATTACAGACAAATGTTAAAACGAAGGGAAAAACAAATGTCTCTTGACAAATTTGTAGTGAGACAAACAAGCACTGAACCACAACCAGGTCCTAGTGGTATTCAGGCAAAACATAGGAGAGAGAAAACATCACTGCCTGATGTGATAATGGAAGGGGACTCCCCCTTCCAAACAGTAACATCTCTCCCCCTCTCCCCTCATCACCATCTTCCTTATGCCATCAAGAGCCCTCCATAAAGGTAAGATAAACTTAGGTACTGTATTGTAGTTAGAAAAAAACTTTGTATTCAGTATAAAATGTATTGGTTACATGCAGGGGTACAAGGCTACTTGTCACAAGTTGTAGAGCTCCTCCAGCTACTCAGATGGCTGACAGGAACCATGGATGCCGTGAGCATTTCCTCTCTGGATTGCCACACTAAGGCGCTGAAAGAGAAAACTGGCGGCTCTAGGGTCTCTAGTTGTTTTAATTAGCTTGGAACCCAGCTCCTTCAAAAAACTAGCAGCACTTTTACCCCAGGCACCAAGTATCTCTGAGGCAATGGGGACAAAATTAATCAAGGACTACCAGGGAGGTGATCAAGGACTCTGTATTTACGTGACTTGTCTGCTTTCCGGTGATTGGCAGTACCTCCTGCCTGTGCAGCACTGAAGGCAACGTATGTGGTGACTAAAGTTGAAATGCAAGTGTAGTCCCACACCAACTGTGTACCATTCTTCCAGGGGTTCACCGTAATCCCGTCTGGGCGACTGATAGGCTCGTCAGAGTTGCAGGGCATTAGGTAACGGGATTCTCTCTCTGCTGGACAACCAGCGGTGGTAAGGCTTCTCTTAATAATGTTGTTAATCTCGCCGTGTCTTGCATGCCATTCTCCTGTCCTTTGGCAGAGAAAGCTATGCCATCCGTACCTGTCGGCCACTGCCTCGCTGCAAATACACCTGTATTCGGTGTGGATTGGGGCAGCGAGGCAGAGAGCCAGTTGCTGGCATTGGGGTTGCTAATAGTAAGTCACCTGCATGGGCAGCTGCTAAAGCCCTAAGTCGGGCAGTGTCATGTGGTGTTGTCGCAGCTTATAGTAATGTCACAGCTTCTTGGTCAGCAATGGGGCGATCCCAGCTGGATTGCTTATGGGCTTCAGAAGGCAGTGGTTGGGGTGCTGGTCCTGCAAGAGAGACCCATTTGGTGGTGCAGTCTGTAAAGCTGGGATCATGTACCCTGAAGTAAATACTTCATGATACAATGATACAAAGTAAATACTTTTTGTGAAGTAAAAGTATTTTGCAAAACAAATTTAAGTTCTAGGCCTTTTGGTTGCAAAGATAAATGGCCTCACAGACCAGGCAATCACCAGGGAAGGCTGATTACAGACAAGGCTGTTGGGGTAGAAGAATCTCAGTTCTTAAAAGGTAATAATGTAATAATTTAAGCTGGTACGGAGGAGTGATAACTATTGGGATAGAATGGCTGGTCAGGCACTGCCTAGGGCCCCCCCCCCCATAATCCTAAATCCAGTCTTATAATATAAGATATATCAGATTCACAATAAGTTCACATTAATGCGATATATCAATGAGAAAATCAGTAGGAGCCATGAGGAGGGTTTCAACTGCTCACTTGGTCTAGGGCACTAGCTTGGGAGTACCAAGTGAACGGATTCGAATCCTCCTCATGGTTCCTTCTGATTTTCTCATAAATCGGATTGCAATTACTTGTTCATTGAAACCATTACATTTTCAAAATAAATTATAGAGTATTTTCTACTTGTATTATCAACAGACAAGGTTTCCACAGCTGCGAGACCCTGAGCGACTTAGACCATACATAGAAGAGTTTTTAGAGAAAGTGAATCTTACAGATGCCATCTTACTGTATGCACCAGGGCAGGTAAGAAAAAATTGCAAATAACTAATTCTGTCATATGTAGGAAAAAGCTGGTATGTTTCTTCCACAAAATATATTTGGTACTCTGAAGGCAAAATTTTAGACAGATCAGGTTGGTCCATACTCGGTTTTATAGCCTTTAACTCTTACACTGCTATAGCCTGGGCTATAAATAGGGGTACAAGCTGGGGCTGGGTGAAAATATATTTGAATTATAAAATTAATATTAAATGTTAAACAAATCTCCCACTTATTGACTTCAGTGTCATGAAAGTTTCATCACAATATTTTCAGAAATGGATTGTAGACAATTTTTTTGAAAAGAAGAACATTTTGTTGATAAGGAGAACAGCTCCTGTTAACTGGAACCGAGGGATAAGGCAGTAATAAAAAGATGCAAGCACCTGTCCGATGCACAAAGAATAGTAGTTAGAAGTACCCACACAGTGGATATACAGCTGGTGCCCTTATAGCTTTGCTGAGTAATACATAATAACACAAATAATAATGAGTAAGTATGTTATTATGCTCTTTTTTGCTATATATCATACAAATACATTGTCCAATGGTAATACCTGTTACTTTCACCAATGTCGCCGGGAGCCGGTCGGCCGAGCGGACAGCACGCTGGACTTGTGATCCTGTGGTCCTGGGTTCGATCCCAGGCGCCGGCAAGAAACAATGGGCAGAGTTTCTTTCACCCTATGCCCCTGTTACCTAGCAGTAAAATAGGTACCTGGGTGTTAGTCAGCTGTCACGGGCTGCTTCCTGGGGGTGGAGGCCTGGTCGAGGACCGGGCCGCGGGGACACTAAAGCCCCGAAATCATCTCAAGATAACCTCAAGATGTCCACAATTTTTTTTTTTAGGGGAGATTTTTTATTTATTTTTTTTCTTCTTTGTTTATTATCTAATTTTGTTGTAACCTCTACATCCTGGAGAATGCATACCCTTCCATAACTATGTGAAGACAGAATTAAATTGGACAACAAATAAATCGGTCATAACTGACAGAACTTGGGACTTTAAATTTTTGGGGGCTAATTTTTTCACAGATTTCAAACTCTATTTTCCTTGTTTCTTTAGATTGTTTTGATAATTAGGGACCAGATTAGGGCTTTTTGATGTATATAAAGTATACCCTAACTATGTCCCCTAAGTCATTATAAATATCCCAATATTTTTTTTGGGGGGGGGGGATTTTTTCTTGACTTCATTTCAACACACATTGACCTACAACTTTCACATATTCGAGTATGAATGCCAAACAATGTTTATTAAAAAATATAAGTAAATTAATGAATTAGAACTACCTTATACATTGTCAATAACTTCAACTATCTCTAAAACTAGAGTTTCACTGTTGTCAGCTTCAAAAAATCCATTTTCTGACCGATTCTCACCATTTTTACACATAATGTGCGCCGCTGTCTGTTCTACAATCCTATTAGAATGGATTTTTCATAAACTCCAAACATTTTGAGTTATAAATTTTGTTGTCCGAATTTGGTGCATATTTCAAATGCCATATTGACAATTTTTTTTACAGTAAACTAAACTGAAAAATCTATATTCTGAATCTATTAAAATGAAAATCATATACTATTCTGAGATCATAATATCACTTAATGAACAATTGGTGATATGTAATATTTTTGCAGCTGATCTGGAAATCTGAAATTTTCAACATCAAATTTTATAATTATTTTTAATTTTCTTGTTTTGCAAGTTATGTTGATGATCATTTAGACAAAGTTGGAGTGTTTAGCTAGTAGATTATGCACAAAAAAATTGAAAGCGTTAGAACAAATTTGAAAAATTTAACTTATGGTACCATCGGGTCCTGTCGTGTATATTTACGCCATGCGCAGTTTAAGGATTAACCTAGGCTAGAGGTTCTCAAACTGTTATCAAGTCAAAGATAATTTGTACTGAATATTGTTCGAAACATCCAGGAATTTTTTAGAGTTGGGTTCGTTAAAAGGAGGATGAACTGTAATTACATGATATGTAATAACATGTAATGTTATGCAATTAATGCTATGCACTCTCATAAACCCAATGTACCTTCTTGTATACTGTATATATAAATAAATAAATATATACTGATTATGTTCAAATGGTTTCCTCAAATCTATATGGCCAAGGTTTTCTAGTATACTGATCTAGTTCTACTTGTACTGGCCAGAGATGCTATGTAAAGCTTGATAGAAATACAGTGGTATCTTGGTTTACGTTCTAAATTACTATTTTTTTGATATACAGTGTCAAATTCATCATAAAATTTTAATTGGTGCACGACATTAGCCTTGGAATATGATGTCTATTGATACTTGTATGGGTCGAGTGAGTGTGTGGTTCTGGGTGCAGGGCGAGGCACGCTCAGTTGTTCACCAGTGTATCCCGCCTAGTGACGACCGCACTTGAATTCTTTGTAAAGAACTTCATTGTTTTACTGCTTTTCTGTGGCGAGCTCCTTCGGCTCCCCAGAGCTATACCAGGCTATTGTGTATATATTAGACCATGGCAACAGTCAATCGATGGAGTTCTAGGACTGCCAGGGACCAGCGCCAGAACCTGCCCCCCCCTTTCCCCTCAGAGAGGCACGAGGAGCAATGGCTTATAGACTTCCCCATGTAATTGAAAGCAGTCTGTCTGCCATCTACCAGATCAAGCACCGAGAAAGGTAGGAATTCCAAAACAAACTACAGCAGGTTAAAAAATGCAAACCAAAAGCCGAATGAGCAAGCAGAACTCCCAAATCCAAAACCAAGTAAACAAGCATGATGTCACCACAGCCACCGGGCTGCTGTCTGCTCAGCTACCCATTTCCTGGGAGGGGGTAGAGGGGACTCCAAACCTTCCGCGCCAGTTACCCAAACCCAGTTCTGAGGCTGTTGTGTTGAGTGGCGGTCGATTGACTCTGGCTCCATCCTTTAAGCAGTGCTGTGCCTTATGGTGTTCTGCTGTATTCACCTAGTTGTGCTTGTGGGGATTGAACTTCGCTCTTTCGGCCCGCCTCTCAACTGTCAATCAATCAACTGTTACCAACTACTAGCTAACTTTTTTTTTTCTTCCTCCACACACACACACACATCTCAGGAAGCAGCCCGTAGCAACTGTCTAACTCCCAGGTACCTATTTACTGCTAGGTAACAAGTGCATCAGGGTTAAGGAAACTCTGCCCATCTGTCTCCGCTGGGTGCCGGTCTCTAGGTCCACGAGTCTAGAGCACTATCCACTTAGCCACCCAGCCCAGCCCATGTGTGGTAGTGTGCGATCCAGGTGTAATTCCAGAAGTACTGGAGCTGCATGTGCCTAGTGTCTCCTTTCCTAGGTGCCATGTAAGTACTGCCCTTGCAGTTTGGAGTTACCTTCCACAAACTGTTTGGGGACTACCTCCGTGTGTTTCTTTTTCTGCTCGGTGATTGCCCACCCATGGGGTCCGCTGGTTTTTTTTTCCAACAACTGTTTGGCCTTGGGTAGGAGATAGTATCGTCACTGGCAGGGGGCACAAGGTACTGTACAGCTGTCTTATAATATGCATAGCGGCCAGTTCTGCTCCTCCTGGAGACGTTGTGCTTTTGTGGAGCGTTTCTTTTCTTTTCTTTTGCCTAGTGGGGGTCTGCCTGGTATGGCTGTAGGACCACCTGCATTCTTTTAGTGGCCCTCCACTAGGTCCCGTGATTGCACACGTCGCAGGGGTTCAACTTTTGTTTGTTCTCTTGGTAGTTCTGAGAAAACTGGTTAGCAGTACCTTGCCTCGGCTTCCCTTAGCAGTCAGCCTAAGGGCTCTGGAAAACCCCATTGGGGCTCATTGGTCCAATGGATGTGTCCTCTGAGTTCCATCTTGCTTCGTGCGAGTTTGTAGGTTGCTCTGTTCCCTTGTCTCAGCGTGATACTCACTTTTTTTTTGCCTCTGCCATGCTGCCTGTTGGGTCAATAACACCTTTGACCTGGAGTCCTGCTAGTGGTATTCCTTGCTTGTACTCCAGTTCACCCAGTCCTCTGATACTGATATTCGGGTGCAGGCAGCTTCTGTGTTACATGCGAAATTTAGGGTGTTGCAACGTGCTAGGTTGGTTGCCTTTCTGAATGCCAGGCGGCTGCCCCGCTTCGGTTATAGGGACCTGGACTTGGGGGCGTTAGTCGCCTCGACTTTGGTTTCATCTGCTTCCCCTTTTCCTTTCCCTGCTGTAGTTTTTCCTGGTCCCCTTCCCCTGCTCCCAGCTCCCAAACGTCTGAGGGTTTCGGAGTCGGGGCAGGGCTTTCTTGGTGGTGACTTGGGCAGCTTTGGGGACTGCACCTTCTGGATCTTGCGCTTGCCTCGGCAGCTTGGGCATAGGTTACCTTGTTGAAGTTGTTTGCGCCAATTCTGAAGGAAGCGGTGTCTCTGTTCTTTGTTTCTCGCCTCGCATATCAACAGGAGGTGCTCGTCCACTCTTTGAAATCTGCCTGCGCCCTGGCTCTTTGATTTTCATCCCCTTTATGTCCGTTGCTGTTTGCAGAGTCTGTGATGGTGCATTTTCTGCAGGCAGCTAAGTCTAGTTGCTGGCCTGTCAGATTTGTTGGTTCTCCAGGGGTGGCTGTGTGGATCCTGCCTGGAAGGGTTGTACCAGGGCTCGGAGTTCCTTCTGTTGTCGCAAGCCCAAGCCAGTAGTGATAGATTCGGGGCCAGCCCCTCCTGCAGAGCTGTCGACGTCTGGCCGGCGCAGTGCTTGCACTGAGCGTTGGCCCAATTTAGGGGAGGTTTGTGCTGTTTGCTCTTGCCTGGTCAGGTGGCTTCGTTGATGGTGCCCCATCTGGGAGTTTCATCTCAGCGGCAGTATGAAGTTCCTTGGTGGTCCTTTTGGCATTTTTTGTCTCTTCGTATGTTGTCTTCAGTTTTTGATCAGGTTGTTTTGTCCTTTCTCTCTTGGTTGTTTCAGGACTGTTATCTTATGCCAAACAATGACGTCTCGTCTCGTGCAGCGCTGGTGGAGCCGCTTCAGCTTGTGTTCGAGGTGGATGTCACTCCTCCATTCCACAAGCATTCTCAGGCATTGTTTCACCTCCTGCCTGCTCATGCACTGCCTGAGCCGTCCTGGTCGTTGGATCGGGTGCACTTTCTTCTCTTTTCTCCTCGGTTTGTAGTGGCCCCTTCAGTTCAGGACTTTTTTTCTAAGGTTCTTTTCTTGTTGGCATGAACTCCGGGGCAGGGTTTCTGCTCTTTCATTCCTGGTGGTCGGTTTGTTCGTTTGCAGCTGTCTTCTCCTTTTCTGAAGAAGAATGAGAATGCTGCCTTCCGGAGGAGTCCTTGTGTTGTTGATGCTTAGTTGGTTCAGCTGGAGGTGCATCATGTTTTGTGTCCGGTTGTGGCTCTTCGCTGTTACTTGCGCGTCATGGGCTCTGTGGCAGGGAACGCGCTTTGGGTTGACCCGGTTTCCCTTCTTCCCTGTTCCAGGGTGCGGGTCTCCCAGGTCGTCTGCAGGGTTATTCGGTCTAGCTAGCCTGTGGTCTATCCCCGTGCCCACGACGTTCTTAAGTTCGTGGCTTTGGCCACTGTTTTTGGAAATATGGCCTGTGCTTTTTGGTAATAACAGTGTATGTCCTGACATTCGGGACAGGGCTTTTGGAGGTCGAATAGGGTCCTGGCCGCATGGTACCTCATTAATGTTCCTGGCCCTTCTCTGGCATGTGTAGCCTTGGGTTGCAGATTGCAGCCAGTTGTCTCGATTTCGAGTTGAGGAGCAAGTGACGGTCGCCTCCCAGGTAAGTCCCTCTTTTACCTTCCTTATCTTTGGTTAGATAGCTCTGGGAAGCCAAAGGGGCTCTCCACAAAAAACTAGCATTGAATGTAATGAATCCCCATTTTCTGGGTGACCCGGAGGCTTCCCTGCATCCCTCCCTCCCTCCGATCGGCGTTTTTTCGCATTTTTCTTATTCAGCCTCTGAACTGGGGATGGTAACCGGCACAGGAGGTCTGGGTTCCCCCTTCCCCCTCCTGGGGAGGGGGGGGGAAGGGGGCCATTGCTCCTCTTGCTTCTCTGATGGGGCCAAGTTTTGGCTCGTGGTCCCTGGTAGGTTAGAACTCCATCGATTGACTGTTGTCATGGTCTAATATATACACATCAGCCCGGTATAGCTCCAGGAAGCCTCCAGGTCTCACCCAGAAAATGGCTTTTCATTACATTCAATACTGTTTTTTTTTTTTTATTTTATGAATACTGTATATAATTGGTAAAAGAAATAATACCTGATTTTTTTATTTTTAGGAAATATAAATTAAAAATTTCTTCTAACAAAACAATAGAACTATACTTTTTTCCCATGCAGATCGCTCTTGCAGCAGTTACAAATGCAGTGAGCAGATTGGGAGAGAACCTGGATCAGTATGTCACTGATATACTTTTTCCTGATGAGCAGAAGCAACATCTTTCCATTCTTATTGAAGCTGTTAGAAGTAAGTTTACTTTTTTATTCTAGTATATATTTAATAATTTGTTTAAAAACAATCTACTGTACCTGTTTACATGGGGGTGGTTGTGTAAACCTCACCAGAGGGTTCCCTCGAGTAAATAACAAAATATGGTGTATAATAAAAATTCAGTCGATCAAACATCTGTCAGTGGCCATAGTAAAATATGTCTGGCTGTATAATATAATGCTAGATATGACAGCTATTGAGAGAAATAATCACTATTCATTACATATTGGTGGTGTTAAATTTTAAAATATAAAATCATATTTTGAACTGAAATTTGTGGTAGGTTTAGAGAGGCTAATTGTGAAAGTTTTCACTTTAATATATAAATTACTAGAGGACTGTTGGATTAAATTTGCATAGTGTATTTCTATCACTTCTATCACTTTTAACTCAGATTCACATTTCTGTTAAGCAACTACAGTACTGTAGAGTGGCACCTCCTAAATCCTGCCTTCCTCTAACAGGTCCCTCTAAACAGCAGACCAAATTTAACTAGTAGATCTATCCAAATTTAAAAAATTTCAGAAAAAACGTTCATGAAACAGGGGCCCCTTGTGGAATCTGGCTCATTAACATTGTCATTCCAACCTGTCGGCAGGTTCCCAACTATAAATGTTCCGGGAATATCAAAATCCTATTCAGCGATACCTAAAATGTTTATTATCTTTTTATGTTTTCTAAATTTTTGGGTTATACATTAATAAAACCAGCGTTGAATGTAAAGAAACGCCATTTTCCCTGAAGCTATCCAAACTGACTTGTGCCTTATTAGTTTAGGGTCATCAGTCACAGGAGTTCTTTATGTCTACCGGAGACCACGAGCCAGAACCTGGACCCCTCAGAGAGGCACAGGGAGCATTGGCCTATGAACACTCTACATTTAGAGTACTGTATGTCATACTTGACATCAACCAGGAAGGGCACCCAGAAAGATAGGCAAAACAATACAAACCCCAAGCTGGTGAAAATTGCAACTTACATCCGAACAAAGCAAAATAACTCGCCCAAAAAATCAAACAAGCAACACCTCACCCAACTAGCACATTCGCTCATTAGCTCCTTTCCCCCCCCCCCCCCTCTTTCCCTTGGCTCAGGTGAGAAGTTGGCTCACCCCACCAGTTCTTGAATGATGAAAAACTGCCGACCGGAGGCAGGGAGGGTGTCAGGAAGCCTCCAAGGCTCACCTAGAAAATGACGTATAATTACATTAAATGCTGGTTTTCTGTGGGAGCCCCGTCGGCTCCCTGAAGCTAACTACCCACAGATAAGTAAAAGAGGGACTTACTCGGGAGGTGGCAGCACGGCAAGGCTCGAGACGAACATGAAACATCAGGCCACGACAGACACCCCAATGCAACACAAGGCTGGAGAGGGCCTGGAACGTTCACGAGATACCTGGCGGCCAGGACCCTGTTCGACCTCCAAAACCCCTACGCCTGAATGTCGACCCAAGACATATTCCCAAAGACCACAGCCAGAGCAGCATACTTCCAAACATTGTGGGCACAAGGGTAGACCGCAGGCTGGCTAGACTTGATGACACAGCGGACAACCTGAGACACATGAGCCCTGGAACAGGGAACCATGATAAGCCCAGAATGCATCCACTCTCACTGAACCAGTGGTCCGCAGGTAGCGACATAAAGCCGCCACCGGACACAAGACATGATGCACCCCCCGGCATAACCCACCAAGCATCCACAACCATCGGATTTCTCCAGAACCCCCCCATCTCATTCTTCACCAGAAAAGGAGGAGAGGGATGCAACCTAACAAAATGACTACTGGGACCAAAAGAAGTCCCCTACCCGACCCACAGAGGCCAAAGCCAACAAAAACAAGGCTTTCATAAAACAATCCCGAATTGAAGGGGCCACCACAAACCTAGGGGAGGGAAGAAGGGAAGAGAGAGTGTCGGTGAGTGAGGCAAAAACGGTGAGTGTCACCCTGTAATTACCTAAGTGTAGTTACAGGATGAGAGCTACGCTCGTGGTGTCCCGTCTTCCCAGCACTCTTTGTCATATAACGCTTTGAAACTACTGACGGTCTTGGCCTCCACCTTCTCACCTAACTTGTTCCAACCGTCTACCACTCTGTTTGCGAAAGTGAATTTTCTTATATTTCTTCGGCATCTGTGTTTAGCTAGTTTAAATCTATGACCTCTTGTTCTTAAAGTTCCAGGTCTCAGGAAATCTTCCCTATCGATTTTATCAATTCCTGTTACTATTTTGTATGTAGTGATCATATCACCTGCTTTTCTTCTGTCTTCTAGTTTTGGCATATTTAATGCCTCTAACCACTCCTCGTAGCTCTTGCCCTTCAATTCTGGGAGCCACTTAGTAGCATGTCTTTGCACCTTTTCCAGTTTGTTGATGTGCTTCTTAAGATATGGGCACCACACAACCGCTGCATATTCTAGCTTTGGCCTAACAAAAGTCGAGAACAATTTCTTTAGTATATCGCCATCCATGTATTTAAAGCAATTCTAAAGTTAGAAAGTGTGGCATAGGCTCCTCGCACAATATTCTTCATGTGGTCCTCAGGTGATAGTTTTCTATCTAGAACCACCCCTAGATCTCTTTCTTTATCAGAATTCTTTAAAGATTTCTCACATAATATATAGGTTGTGTGGGGTCTATGTTCTCCTATTCGACATTCCATAACATGGCATTTATTAACATTAAATTCCATTTGCCAAGTGGTGCTCCATATGCTTATTTTGTCCAGGTCATCTTGAAGGGCATGACAATCATCTAAGTTTCTTATCCTTCCTATTATCTTAGCATCATCAGCAAACATGTTCATATAATTCTGTATACCAACTGGTAGATCATTTATGTAGACAATAAACATCACTGGTGCAAGAACTGAACCCTATGGTACTCCACTTGTGACATTTCTCTAGTCCAATACATTGTCTCTGATCACTGCCCTCATTTTTCTATCAGTCGGAAAATTTTTCATCCATGTTAGAAGCTTACCTGTCACCCCTCCAATATTTTCCAGTTTCTAGAACAACCTCTTATGTGGAACTCTGTCGAAAGCCTTTTTTAGGTCCAGATAGATGCAGTCAACCCAACCATCTCTCTCCTGTAATATCTCTGTTGCTCGATCATAGAAACTGAGTAAATTCGATACACAGGATCTTCCAGATCGAAAACCATACTGTCTGTCTGATATTATATCATTTCTCTCCAGGTGTTCTACCCATTTAGTTTTAATTATTTTTTCCAATATTTTGACTATTACACTTGTCAGTGATACCGGTCTATAATTAAGGGGGTCTTCCCTGCTTCCACTTTTGTAGATTGGAACTATGTTAGCCTTTTTCCACACATCAGCTACAACTGTAAACAGGGATGCCTGTTTGTGTGTGTGTGTGTGTGTGTAAAAATTTTTTTTAATGTGTAAAGGAACATAGCAACACAGTAGCAAGGAGCGGGCTTGCATTATTTCACACGTCTATTACCTGTCCAGTCCCAGTTAATTTCTGAACCAGGAATCTGTACTTATGCACTTGGTGAGTTGCCAGATGTCACTTCTTAAATAATTCATTACTTAATATTTACCTTATATAAATTGATTGCATTTCATTTAATGTCATTTGCATGTTGCAAAGTTTATTTGATCCCATTTTATGCCGGTGTTAGTACAATTACATGTCTCATTTAATTATTTGGATATTATATAAATTTTCCTCTCGCCATCCCTTGAGGGAGGGAGTGTGGGGCTTGTGCGCCGGGAGCGTCAGTTGGTTGGAAGAACTCGTCTGTTAAACATTGTTCTGATAAGTTATCTTTTGTGTATTTATTTTGCCGTAGTGTAGGGTGTTTGTCTGTGGAGATTTTCTTATTCAATTAACCACTTAACTGCGCCACCTGAGTATTCACGGTCGGTGAGAAACTGCGCCAACCGAAAAAACTCTTTTTGATTTTTTTGTACCCATTCTTAATGTGTGCGAGGTTGCTTGTGTACGAAATGGACTCTTAGAACCTCCAGTGAGAGGCAGCCATCTTGGAAAAAATTCCCAGAATGCCCTAGTGCTGCTGGCTGGGTTAGTACTGAGTGAGCAACCATGGGTGGGGCATGCGCCTCTGGCTCCCAAACACCTGTCCGACGTGGTGTTGAAAGATCGCGCTCTGTCGGTGAAATTTAAACCTTATTGTTTGAAGAACATAAGGGTCATAATATTGGTGAAGCTAGACGCAATAAGGACCTAGCACAAAGGTCAGATGCAAGTGATACAGCACCTATGAGGAGGAGACAGCGAGCGTATCTAGTTGTAGCTCTGAGTGCCATGCTTGGCTACCTATGCTATTTATTCCAATTTATCCAGTTTATTTAGATGATACATAGATGAATCATTTTCTGCATTCAGTGATGATGCATCTGATACAAGTAGCGTAGATGAATAGTGTTAGTGGCTTCCATGGTGGTGTTTTACATAGATATTTTCGAGAATAGCTGAATCTCTTCTTGACTGACGGACACTCTTTGAACATAGATATTTTCGAGAATAGCTGAATCTCTTCTTGACTGACGGACACTCTTTGAGGCTGGCTGAATCTCTTCCAGACTGACGGACACACTTTGAGGCTGGCTGAATCTCTTCCTGTGTGGGACCTTACAAAGCCACCTTTCACGACTACCTTACGTTTTACAAGCTTGGCTACATACCACCTACAGGTACTAATGCCAAGGGTGTACGTGAGTGCGTTATTTGCAAAGCACACAGAACGAAGAAATAGGAAGCAAAAATCTATCTGTTCCTGGTGCAACGAGAGCGTAGTCGAGCTGTGTACTGTACCATGGACTACTTCATTAATTATTACTCACTTCTGAAGTATTGTGTGTGCAATACAGTGTCTTACTGTGTAAATAGCGTGTGAAACTGTACATATTGTAATTTAGTAATATTGCGACAATAAACATTTATTGTGGACACATTACTGACACATGTATCACAGTTCCATGGAACATTATGAACATTCTACTGTATACATATTGTAAAGGACACAAACATGCATCATATATGATAAAATAAATAAATAAAACTGCATTGGAAATACATAGAACAAATAATGGAAAATATATTTGTGGCAACACCAGTGCTTGAATGGCCTGCGCAACCGTGTCTGGGCGAGTCATGCACGGGCGACCAGCCCCTGATGATGTCACAGCGCATCTTGTCCATGTCCCCACAGCCAAAGTAAGTGGAATTTGGTATTTATTTTTATATAGACATGTTCAGTGAAGGGAATTTATCATTTTACGAAGAAAAGATAATTTTTGAGGAACACTTTATTTCATGCTCACAGGGAGAATTTCACAATAAACTCGGCGCAGCGTTGGTGGTTAAGCCAATTAATTCTCTCATGCATTTGAAGTAAATACCAGTTGTATGTTGAAATACGTGCATATAATTTTTTTTATTAATGATATTATATAAAGTTTTATGTGCATGTTTGTTTCACCTGATCTTTTAAATTTATATTTCTGTCCTATATAGGGACACTCTGGTGTTGATTTATTTTATGATAGTGAACATACCCTAGATAAGATTTATGTCACTATTATCATGCAACACGAGCTGTGTGTACTAGCTAGGTAACAACATCCACCCCGAACGCAAGCTGGAGCGACTCCAGCATTCCTGTGGTGTGCATTGGCCAGGAGTTTTGGAGTACTGGAGCTGCATGCGCCTTGGACCGCCTTTCCTAGGTGCTCTGCAAGTACTACACATGCGTGGTCAGGGTTTTCTTTCCTGGGGCATTTGGAAATCATTCCCCGTTAGAAGACTTTCTCGCTTGTAGTTGTCTTCGCCCTTAGGGTGTGTCAGGAGCTTTGGGCTTTCCATCTTGCCCCAGGTAGGGGAGTGTTTATTGGCTGGTTGGGTGGGTTTTTAGCTCTCAACACAGCAAGCTGACATTTCTCGGCAATTGATTGTTTGCTGTTGTGAAGTTTCGTGGATTTTCATTGTACCTTTTTACATATGCTGTAGTCTTCTTTTTGCCTGTTTTGCCAGAGGAGTTCTGCTTTTTCACCACATAAGGCTTTGCCTAGGGTGTGGCGGTGGTCGTCCTCTGTTGCCCCCAAGGCTTTACTGCAGCCGATTGTGGTCAGATTGCCTGCATCGACACGGGTTACCAGCTTAGCTGGCCCCAGTGCTTGGGCTTCCTGTAGGGCTCATCCTACAGGCCCTGGAAAACCAAATTTTCATTTTAAAATTTTTCTTATTTTTCAGTTCCAGAAGCAATTTTGTAGTGTGCCTTTGCACCTTTTCCAGTGTATTGATATGCTTCTTGATATATGGGCACCATACAACTGCTGCATATTTCAATTTTGGTCTCATAAAAGTAGTCACGAGCAGTTTGTTTAGTATTTCACCTTCCATGTAATTAAAGTGACGCATACGGTCCTCTCACAATGTTTTTTATGCGTTCCTCTGGTGACGGTTTACTATAAAAAAACACCTCTAGATCTCATTCTTAATGCCTTTCCACATAATTTTAAAATTGTATGTGGTCTATTTTCAGTGATTCCACATTCCATAACATGACATTTATTTACATTGAAATCCATATGCCAAATGTCGCTCCAAGCACTTATTTTATCTAGATCATAACTAAAATCATTGATTTTTATCAATGATTTTTAAACAGCACGCATAGAAACGAAGAAACATTTAAATTATTAGGATCGTCTCAAAGCTCTCAAAATGTACTCTTCGGAAAGGAGATGAGAAAGATATCAAATAATATATACTGTACATGGAAGATACTTGAAGGCCAGGTTTCAAATTTGCACAATAGAATAACATCATACTGGAACGAAAGATACAGAAGGAAATGCAGAATAGAACCAGTGAAGAGTAGAGGTACCATAGGCACAATCAGAGAACACTATCTGAACTTTAAGAGGTCCACAGCTGTTCAACACCCACCCAGCAAGCTTTAGAAATATTGCTGGAACAATGTTGGATGTATTCAAGAGGCACTTGTAGTTCTTAAGTTCTTGCAAGAAGTGCTGGACCAACCAGGATGTAGTCGATATGTGGGCCTGCGGGCTGCTCCAAGCAACAGTTTGGTGGATGAAGTTATCACATGTTGAGACCGGGCTCAGGAAATAGAACAACTCCCAGAACCCTTTCCAGGCATGCTCCAGGTAAGGGCATGACAATCGTCTGTCTCCTATCTTAGCATGATCCACAAAATGTTCATATAATTCTGTATTCCTTCTAGTAGATTGTTTATGTAGACGATGAACATTACTGGACAATGAACAAAACCTGAACCCTGTGGTATTCTGCTAGTAACACTCCTCTAGCCAGATACAGGGTGTGGAGGGTTTGGAGATTGAACAGGATCTTGGTGGCCAGATATTTTGTGAACATCCCTGGTCCTCGGCAGCCTTGTATTGCTCTGGTGCATGTGTCGTGGCTGGCTGACTGGTTTTTGGATTGATACCTATGGTGCTTCCTTCCTGTTAAGTGCCCTCTTTTGTCTTCTCCATGGGTAATTAGCTTCAGGGAGCTGACGAGGCTTCCCCCAGAAAACCAGCATTGAATGTAATGAAACGCCAATTTCTGGGTGAGCCCTGGAGATTCCCTGACACCCTCCCTTTCCCAGGGTGTCGGTGAGTTTCATCATCATAAAACTGAAGGTGGAGCAAGCTGGGTGGTCAAGTATGCCTTCCTCTACCCTTCAAACAAGGGGGAAGGTGGGGCAAACTAGCAGGTGCTTGTTTCGTGAAATATGGTGGTTTGTTTTCATTGTTGGGGGGAGTTCTTTTGGCAATTTTGGGGTTGCGGTCTCGGTTTTATCCACGAAGTAGTCTGTTTTGGTTCACCTATCTTTCTGGGTGCCTTTTCCAGTTGGTGGCAAGTGTTAACTTTAATTGGAAAGTTTTTATAAGCCACTGCTCCATGTACCTCTCAGAGGGGGCCAGGTTCTGGGTTCTGGTCCCTGGTAGACCAATAGAACTCTGCGACTGATGGCACCTGAGAGTATCTCGCTGATCAATGTATGATAGCTTCAAGGAGTCTCCAGAAACTGCTGTTTCATTACATTCAATGGCATTTTTTCATTGGTAAAAGTTCACTACCTCCATAAAGAGCTATTATACCCATATTAGCATCAGTGGTGTAAAACCCAAGAATAATAATTTAAATTGACGTGTGACTATAACAGCTCTTTAAGGGTAATATGGGTTTGATCCCGATTTAATGGCGACATTAGGACAAACAGCTTGGGAAAGTCATTGATCTTATTTTTAAAAATTCTATAGTTTATATTCATATTTAGTTTTATATGGAAAAATTTGAAAATTTTGTGATAAATGGCCAAACAATGGCCAAATTTCTTGAAATGTGGATTGGGTCCAGGATGATATAACTCAGGTTTTAGAGGTGTGCCTGTACAGTATATACTGTACTGTAGATGATTTTATTACAGATTTTATGTTTAAACTCTTCTAGGTAACCCCAACAGGTTGAATAATAAACACACAATATGGTATAATAAGTACATACTGTAGCCAGTATATCAAATATATATGTTACGAGGATGTCGTGAGGGTTGAGCCATAAGGTTAGGCTGTAGAGTGTAGGTTGTGGCAAGAGGCAGGCTGGTGGTTGTAGCTAATTCTGGTGGAATGGCTAGGTTGAGGTAGGTTAAACTAGGTGTTTTTGGTAAGCTGTGGTGAGAATACTTGATGTGGTCAGTGTCTTGTATACCCATCCACTGGCTTGCCTCAAACTAATGCTGCTTGTTGATTGGTTGATGGGAAACAGTTTGATTCTGGGAAGTGTGGGGGGATTGCCGTAGCACCTGTAATTACTGCAGACATAATAATAGCTGCTACGAGTATTAATATTTATTGTTTCTGGATTTCTATTTCCATCACTTGGCTTTGATTCAGTCTATTAAGCAAATGCAATACAGTACTGTATTAATATTTTTTTTATTTCTGCATTTTACATTTACAGAGATTAAGAAAATGGTGAAGAATGCAGAACCACCTTTGTCAGATGCTGTGCGCCGTGAAATAGACGCCAAGCTAGAAAAGTGTCGCAATCAGGAAAATAATCCAAACTCTTCACAATACCGTGCTAATTATTCTGAGTGGGATGATGAAGATTTACCCATAGCTGCATCACCAATTAATGAAGATACAGGTTTAGGGGTTGAGAGAATTCGGTCACCATCAGCCTACTGAAAAATTATATACAAAGGTTCCATTTAATTTAACAAATGATGAACTAGATATATCATCTCATTAGGCCAAAAGACTAATGGGTTACCTAAGCTGAGAGGTCTAGAGAAACGGATTCCTATCCCACACCCTTCTCCCCATCTCTTTAGCTCCTGAGAATTAGAATATTTGTCTAAATTGTTCAATCTGAAATCATTTTAAATCTGTCCTAGAGCATTTTACTCTAACCAGTTATCATCATTGGCATTACTGGTAGTTGTATTTTTTAAATTACCATACCTATCATAAGCATGTTTCTATCCCCATGTTCAAACTAGCAGCATATTATTGACATTGATTATTTCCTGATGCAGGCTGTAATAAGCTGTAGCCCCAAACAATTTGTTTAAAGTAAAGAGCAAAGATCCTAATGAAAATTTGAAGTTAACTCTACAAGCACTTTTAAGCCCAACTTTAAACTAGAGTCCCAGTATATCTTAAATCTTGGTAATGCCAACAACTATACATAGCGCCTCTGTACAACATATTTCTCAGCCAGCTTCCATAACACTTAACAAACCATAATTATGCCATCCCCCACAAGTTTTGTTTAAAGTACAGTACAGTACTGTACTGTACCTTAACACACTTTTCTTACAGGATTGTCGAGTATAAAATTCTGAACAAAAATATTTATAATAAAGTAAACCAACAGTAAAATTAAGTTCATATACCTCAAAAGAGATGTTGACTTGATAGCAGAGATGTAATTACCTAAATGTAGTTACAGTATGAGAGCTACGTTCATGGTGTCCCGTCTTCCCAGCATTCTGCCATTTAACACTTTGAAAATACCGATAGTTTGGCTTCCTCAACTTTTTCACTCAACTTGTTTCAACTGTCTACTATTCTGCAAAAGAAAAATTTATAATATTTTTTCTGGCACCTATTTCCTTAGCGTGAATCTATGCCTTCTTGTTCTTGAGGTTGCCAGTTTTAGGAATTCCACATTGTCAGTTCAATTCTTATTATTATGTACGTGGTTATCATAATACTGTAACCTGCGATTATCCGGGATTCAAACGTCCGGAAAACGCCCATATATGGCCAAAATCGCGATCGGATAAAGTTATCACAATATCCGGCCAAAATAGCCACAGGGACCAGATTAAAGCTGGTTTTGTCGGACAAAATGTTGGGGCCCGGTTAATTTTCTGCCGAAATTACAATATTCGGTCAGTCGCCCGGATAATCATGGCTTTGTCCATATATGAAAACATGAGGCGGGCCATACGGTATTAATCCCGTCTGCCCGTGACTCGAGGCGCATGGTGTAGGTGGGATTGGGGTGGGTGGTGTCGGGAGAGAGGGGAGCGTTGGGAGGGACCACCTGGGAAGATAAGGGGGGATGGGGGAGCGGCCTATACACTACAGTACAGTAATTACTATCAATTTTAGAACAATTCATCATAGCCAAAATCAAAAGAAATACTAGTAATTATATAATAAAAAATTCCATACAAGTTTCCTAAAAACAATTTGCACAGGCTGAAGTTTCCTTCAAAAATATATATTTTTTTTCCTCCTGGCAGCCTACGTAACGTGCCTCCTCCCTGCCCCGACTGGACCTGTCCAGGCCTGGTCAAGCCATGTGCTCTCTACCCTCGTGTTACACCACAGTGCCGCGCCATTAGTGAAATATTTTTTTAAGTAACTTTTTTATTTTCATAGTAACTTGGAACATTTTTGGCCAAGACTATGTCTGGTAGCAGCATGAATCGTTCTGGAAGTGGTAAGGGGAAGAAGGTTGTCCTAACACTTAAGGACAAGCTACGTGTTATACAACTTTGTGAACATGGCCGGTCGACCTCAAGTGTTGCCAAGGAATTTAATATAGGCACTAGTACTGTTTCTGATATAAGGAAACAAAAAGAGAAATTTATGCAATTCATTTCAACCTGTGAAAGTGAAGGTGCAAGCACTAGCAGAGGTTGTGGTAGAAAAACTATGAAAACTTTGACGCATGTGCAGTTGGATGAGGCTGTATACAAGTGGTTTGCTCAGCACCGCACAGCTGGCATGACAATTCGCGGCCCAGAAATACAAAATGCTGCAAGCAGGTTTGCTGCAAGCCTTGGAATAAAGAATTTCGAAGCGAGTGAAGGGTGGGTTGCAAGGTTCAAGGGTAGGCACAATATTTTGAAGAGGAAAATTGTTGGTGAAAAATTGAGTGCAGATGAAAGCAGTGTAGAACCATTTAAACATAAATTACGAGAATATATTGTAGCAAATAATATATATTTGTATCAAATTTATAATGTAGATGAAACTGGGTTGTATTGGAGGAGTTTACCAGAAAAAACTCTAGCAATGAGGAGTGAGGGTTGTGTGCCAGGACGTAAGGTTTGCAAGGACAGGCTCTCGGCCATGATGTGTGCGAATGCCGACGGCACAGACAGAATCACGTGTGCAATTGTTGGCAAAATCTAAGAAACCAAGAGCCTTGCAACATTGCATGGACAGACTGCCAGTGAAATATTATAACTCAAAAAATGCATGGTTTACACAGGAGATCTTTTTTTCCTGGTTTCATGACGTGTTCTGCAGGGAAGTTCGTGCCTATCAAAGAAACTCAAAATAAAGCCAAGCAAAGTTCGGGCTTTACTGTTGCTTGTTAATGCGCCTGCCCACACCAAAATTGACACGTTAACCTTACATGATGGCAAGATAACGTGTATGGCACTTCCTTCTAACACAACCTCTCATTCAGCCTATGGATCAGGGAGTTATCTGTGCCACGAAGAGGTTGTACACCAAAAAGATGCTAAACTAAGTTTTGGTGGTTTTGCCTCTTCCGGAAGATATTGAACTCGGTGTGGATAACAGGGCTAAAAAAAAACTTCAGAATTTGAATTATACAATCAAGGAAGTCATCTATAACTGGGCCAAGGTGTGGAGTGAATTAAAGGAAACGACTTTGAAAAATTCCTGGAAAAAACTCCACACGTCTACGGTCAGAAATGAGGAGGATGCAGAAATGGATTTATAGATGAAATCCATGGAATGTTTAGAAATGCCAGCAAAAACTTAGAAAGACAAGATGTGGTTGATTGGCTTGAACAAGATGCCAATGACCCAGGATATGGTGTGATGAGTGAAGACGAGATTCTCCAGTCTGTTACTGGTGAGGTCGACGAAGAGGATGAAGAAGGCAGTGAAGAACCAACACCAATGACCACGAAATACAGTGTACTCATGACCTATGTTGACGGATTAATAAATTTTTCATCTAATTGTGCTCATCCAGAGGTTGGAAACATGTATCCGTACCTTAGGCGAACAAAAGAGCTGATCATACAACTGGCCAGTGAACACAGAAGGCAAGCAACACTTGATTCTTATATGGTACGAAAATCAAACCAAGCGCCTTCAACAAGTGAGGCGGCACACGCAACCCAAGCGCCTTCAACAAGTGAGGCGGCACACGCAACCCAAGTGCCTTCAACCAGTGAGGCTTCTCAGCTGACAGTGAAAACTAACTTTGCCTAATGAACTGTACAGTAATTTTAAGTGTTAATTTTAGTGTTGTGTTACTATAAGTTATGTAAATTGTCAAGAATTTTTAACTTCAAGATGTGTGTCATCAATCAAGAAGACGAACAACAACAAGGTAAGTTGAGGTTTCTAGTTGGATATTTAATAATTATATGTGGCATGGCACTTCAAATTATGTTGTTTGTAGTATAAAAATAGTTGGAAATGGTTAGTTTTGGACTCATAGATGAAAAAGTACCATTATCAGAACAATGTGCTAATCCGGCTGAGGGTCCTTCCCATATAGTCCGGATGATCGAGTGGAGACAGTATATTTTCTTCTAACTTCTAGTTTTGGCATATTTAATGCATCTAGTATCTCTTCATAACTTGTTTTTCAGTTCTGGAAGCCATTTTGTAGTTTACCTTTGTCCCTTTTCCATTTTATTGATATGTTTCTTGAAATATGGGCTCCATAAAACTGTTCCATATTCCAATTTTGGTCTTGCAAAAGTTATGAACAGTTTTTCCTGGGAGGGCCCCTTTAGCTCCCCAGAGCTATCCAGGCTGATATGGATATATTAGACTTTGGCATCATTGAATGAAGTTCTAGGCCTACTGGGGACCATGAACCAGAACCTGGCCCCCTCAGAAGAGGTACGAGGAATAATGGCCTATAGAAACCCCCATGTGGTTGGAAGCATTCCATGTCTGCCATCGACCGGGTCAGACATCCAGAAAGGTAAGCGCCCCCCAAAGCAAACCCCTATTCTGGTTAAGAAATTGCTGCTGAAAGCCAAACTAGTGAACAGAACACCCCAAATGAAAATGAGCAAAATGAGCCTGACGTCACCATCACCTCACCGCTGTCTGTGCAGCTTCCCCTTTCCCAGGAGGGGAAGTGGGAGCCCCAGACCTCAGTTCTTTGGCTGATGTGATTGGCAATGATCGTGCGACTCTGGTTCCTGTTTTCCTGTCCAGCTCTGTGCCTTATGGTGTGGTGCTGTTTCTCTGGTGGGGCATGAGCCAGGAATAATTTCACAAGTACTCTGGCTGCATGCACCTAGGGTCTCCTTTCTTAGGTGCCCTGTAAGTACTGCCCTTGGAACTTGGGGCCACCTTCCACAAGTCACCTTGGGATCTACCTCTGCTTGGTCATTTGCTGCTCGGTGATTGACCACCCTTGGTGTGCTGAGGTGTTTCATGCATCCTTGTTTGCCTTTGGGTAGGGGTAGTTTGTACTGGTAGGGGGCGCTCTCATAGCGGCCGGCTCTGTTCCGCCTGGGTACATTGTCCTCTTGTGGGGTTTTTCTTTTTTCTTTTTGTTTCCTGCCTGATGGAGCATTTTCCTTTGGTTTTGGTTCCCCCCCTGTTTTGCTTGGTGGTCCTCTGCTAGACCCCTGTGAGTGGACACGTCCTGGGGGTTCAGGTTTTAGCAGTTTTCTTGGTAGACTTGGGCGCTCATTAGCAGTACCCTGCCTGGCCTTCCCCTAGCATGTTTCCCGTCTAAGGACCCTGGGAAACCCTGTGGGGGCACTTGGGTCCAATGGATGCATCCCCCGAGTCCCCTCTCGCCTTGTGGAAGTTTGAAGGTTGCTCTGTCCCCTTGTCTCGAGGTGGCATTCAACACTTCAGCCTCCGTCATCCTGCCTGCTGGGTCGGTGATACTTTCAACCCAGAGTCCGAGTTTTGATGGTTGTCTGTGACTCAGTTCACCCAGTCCACTGATGATTCTGTTCAGGTGCAGGCAGCTCGGGCATTGCATGATAGATTAGGTTGGTTGCTGACCCAGAAGCCTCGAGGCTGCCCCGTTTTGGTTATAGGGACCCGGGCTTGGGGTGTTGGTTGCTTTGACTTTGGTTTAGTCCACGCCCTCTTGTCCTTTCCCTGCTGTGGTTTGTTGTGGTATTCAACCTTCCTTCCCCTGCTTCTGGCTCTGTGGTGTCTGAGGGTTTTGGAGTCGGGGCGGGGTTTAGTTGGGTTGGAGAGACTGGCAGTCTCGGGAGATGCCCTTTCCGGGGTGGCGACAGAGGCATTCGAGTCTGTTCCTCCAGCATATGGGCTTGACCAGTGGGCCTCCTTCCTTAAGTGTTTTTCTGGCTGCCCCGGCTTTTTCTTGTGAGACCGGGCCTTTGGTGGGATGGCTCGGCCCCGGGTCCTGCTATGGAGGTTCCCGGGGCAGGGAA